GAGCATTGTACGAGGAGTCTCGGGGCGCATTGTTGACGCCGGCCGGGTTCACTAGGCTAGAGTTGATGCACTAGGGGCACTGGTCCGCGGCCAGCCGTTTGGCACACTGTCGAGTACGACTGTGTTCCTTGCGATTTCTTGCAGTCTGCTGAGTGTCCTCTCCCTTTTCCCGCTAACCGCTTTCCCCACAAGTCTTTCAGCGCCACCCCCGGCCGGATGAACAAGTGGTTCGAGTTTGGCGACGATAAGCTAAGCTCCGAGGTCCTCCTCGACCCTTTTCCTTCTTTCATTTGGCCGTCGCTTCTCAGCTGGGCTCAAGTAATATTTTGTGAGATGAGCTTCGAGCAGGGAAAATTGTTCCGAAAGGACGCGTCCGGGCTCCATAGCCCAGAGATGAGGCCCGCGACTTCAATGAAGGGACACCAATGCGTTCCCGGGCTATTTCTCCGGAATCGCTTCCTAGATTGGCCCATCCCACGAAACTCCGAGCGACCCGCGTGCATCGCAGGGGGTCGTTTTCGGGCGATCTCGCGAGAGACTCGCTCGGATGAGAATATCGAGAGTTCTCATCGAATGCCTACGAGGAATCATAGGACTTCCGTTCCAGACGACTGCCCCCCGTGCGGGCAACGAATTCTTCCAGAATCCGCGGACAAGATACCAGGGGGAAACGCAGCTCCCGTCGCGTGTACTTCCAACTGGGTCACATCTCGCGGTCGTACTCCTGGAATAGGCGTGAGACAGATTATCCTTGAAAGCTCCCGACTTGCGGATTTAGATTTGCTCTTTCGCAGCCGTCAGCATCGAGAGGAACATGGGACACGAAATCGCTTTCGCGCAGATATTCACGAGATCGTTTTCTCCAGTTGTTCGAATCTTGCCGTTGCACGTTCGGGACCGTTTGCAAGAGATCTGATAAGCCTCGACGCACCATCTCCCACGAGCGAGCGGATTCTGTGAACCCGGTCCGACTAAGGCCACAATCAAGCGACCTCGAGATTCTGCAACTCTTTGATAGAATCTCCGCGATCCTCACTTTTTCTCCCGGGGTGGTCATTCCAGGCTCCCCTTCACGGTAGGAATTTTTCGACCTCCCTCTCCAGAGGGGGAAGCTTGAGAAGCTCTTTTTGGAGGACGGCCTCTATTACAGAGCCCGGATCAGAATGGACGTCGCATCGTCATCGTCGTTCCGTATGGAGTCAGAAAACTCGAAACGCGGGCAAAACTCACCCAGAGAGCGATGTGAAATTTCATCTTCCCGTTCGAGGGTCGTATCCCCCAAGACTGACGTCTTGCCTCAGCTGTACGTTCTCCGACGTCTAATCAAAATAAGCCCTTCTAGCGAGCTCTCGCTCGAACCCTCTGATCCGGCGAGCCGAGCATTGAGATTTGAGGAGAGGTAACCCGACACTGCTCAGCTGATAGCATACGTTGTTCCTCCCTCCAGGTAATTGACGGTCCTTCCAATTGTCGCGGGATATGTGCGGCCACTATTTATGTAATTCTTGTCCTCTTCCTCGATCAACTCTATTCGTCCGAGAAAAAGGTACGAAGGAAAAGAACCGCTCCCGCCGATAGGTGCGTGGGTCGTCCCGCACGGGGGACGGTGCGTACAAACAATCTCGAGATGGAGCTCCGTCTGAGGTATCTGCGGATTCACTCAGAGTTAGTTCACTGTATTCAGGAACTCTCAACCCGGCGAATGCGATAGTTTACTGCCTGACCGCCGCGGGTCTCACCCGGAGACGATAATCAAGGAGGGTTCGGGCTATAACGCCAGCTTCATCAAGCGGAGAGTCCTTTCATCGAATCCTTTGCTCAGTGACCCAGACTTTATTCCAAAGGCAATGCCAGATGTAGACTCTTGGATTGGCACCGGGAATGTTCCGGACAGATTCCGAACTTCCCCCCGCGTCCGGTTGACAAACGTTGATTACCCGCTCCGTATGCTCGGGTTCCTGAAGAGCGTCGCGACAAGCACAGACCCTCTCCGGTGTGGCTTTCGCGGCCAACCGATACACGACATGATTACCAGGTACTAACTTCGAGGAACGAACACAAGTCACAATCGCCTGGTTCTCAGAAGAATAGTTGATTTCTTTTATTGACCATTACTCCTTATTATTCACATTGTCCTCCGGGGGCTTGATCCAACAATACACTCCCGCCACTTCTCAATATATTATTCTCTACAGCGACTCTATCTCGCGAATATTCCATAGCGGAGATATCTCCACATGAACTTATAACACCGGAGCGTTCTCTTTGAGGCCCACGGAGCAGCTTGCACCTAACTAAGTCTCGCACAATATCCTAGCCTAAACATCTTTCATCCCGGCGATCCGCCGCACCGGAGCTCTTACTGTCGACTCTCAGCATCTGTACTAATTGATCAGTGATTCATTTTTAGAAGCATTGGCAGGTATCATCCAAGAATACTTCTTTGATCGACTGTCAATCGGACTGCACTGGGCTCCGCCAGGAGGAATTCGAGGCATTGTCCGTAGCAGATTCCCGCGCCTTCTGATTCCCGATCGAGCGCTCCCCAGGAGCCGGATCGAGACAGAAAACTTTAGGACGCCAACTCCTTCGTATCGTACGAGTCCGTGGATGGTTTGAACCCGCTTCTTTGGCAGGGAGCACTAAGTTCCGGAGAATGCCGTGCACCGTTCCTCCGTATCAGGATGTCTCGAGATCGGTGCTCCAGGTATTCGGAGTTTGGACCAGCTCCAATTAAGCTCGTGGGAAGGGATGGCTGCGCTCCACTGGCAGATGATTTTCAGCCATTAGAGCACCACGCCTAATGGAACGGCGGAACAAGCCGAACAGTCCTCTGGAACGTCACGTTCATTGTGTCTGTGCGATGCGTCGTCTCAAAAATCGGAGAGCGAAGAGACGGACATAGCCCTCGGCCGAAGTAATTATATGAATGGCTCTAACTCGTGGAGAACAATCCAGCGAAGCCGCATGGAATGCATCAGACAATGCCATTGTGCGTCACCACTCGAGATTGAGTCGAATAGAAGAGCGTTCCATTCGTTTATTTCCAGACCGATCCCTTTCGAATCGGTTCGAATGGATCGGCTCGATCCCAAGTGCATTTAAGGCGGCTAGAGAAACTACTTGGGCGATATTCAGACGCATTGAGTATGATACAGATGGGGCGAGCTGTCATTAGCGCGCTGAGTAAGAAGTTCACAGAAAGGAGAGCCTTCTCAGATTTCGGCCAGGCGGCAGTTTCTGCCCTTCCCCCACCGAAGAGGTACATCAAGTTCCTTTCTTCCCGTCCATCAAACATCAGACAGCACAGCTAACCCGTAACGACTTCTGTTAAAAACGACATTTTGTCCACTGTCTGTGACGATTGTGCCTAAAATGGCTCCACATTGCCGATTCAACTGTTGGATCTGCTTTCGCTTCTGCCAACGTTCAAGATTCACAGCAGACTTGGCGAGACAGAAGTGAGCAATGCAGCCAGCTCCCGTAGGTCTTAGACGTTCCGACGCAGAGCTGACTGAGATCTACTTTAAGCCGCAAAAACCTCACGATTCCACTTTGGAGAACTCTTAAGAGGCTCCGGAAGCTCCGAGAACTTCTGCCAGAGACACGGAAGCCAACAAAACCCCGGCTTCCACGAAACGGGCAGACCCATCGTGCCGAACTTAAATTCAATTTCGTTTGGAGGGACCCAGCTCCGGCAAGAAGGGAGCCCCCTCCCGCCGTACCCAATCAGGATTTGGAAAGTCTCACTTATCTAATCCTCACCATTCCCCGCCAAGTGCAATATAGACATCCGCGGTATGTATTCGCCCCATTTTTGTTCGGGAATGACTCCATAGGAAATTCCGATCATCGGGGAAAAGAGGAGAGGTTGACCGGGCTCCTTCACTTCCTCTATGCTCGAATCACCGTCTCGGGAGAAAGTCAGACTTCAACGACGGCGCTGGTGAGCTCTTGCTTCTCATTCTTGTCGGCGAGGGAAAAGTACGAGTCCCGTCCTCCCTGCGAGTTGTTTCAAATCTTTTACCCGCCGGATATGTGGATCTTTGAACTACGCCGAGCCACTAGACGTCCGGGACACGTCACCAATATAGTTTCTCCTCCGAATCTCGATCCGATAGCAAACTCACGCTCTAAGACTCTGGTAATGCGTACTATGCTATCTTCAGTAATCTACCTCCTAGCGAGGAAAACAAGAATAATTCATTCGTCTCAATTCCCAAAACATCCGCACAAAGGAAGGCACTATTGAACGAGCAGCAACGTGTCACTTCCAGCAATTCCAGTCTATCAATGTACAACAGTATTATGTAAGCTAACAAGTTCCGCAAACAATGACACATCCGTTCCGTTCTCGGCACGCGGCGTGCTAATACATAATCACTCTCATCGGTGAAAATCAAGCCATTCACATCCCTATGTTACGACAGGTTTCCTAATTGGAAAAATTCTTGAAACAGACAAGTTTTGACCTCGAGCGCCCATTGTTCGATTGGTGGCCACATGCTGACGCATCATGATATATACCTATGTTAATATATATTATCGACGTATCCATTCCGTGGGAACGCAGCTCGTTCCCATATCACAATTCGCGAATCTCGACTGATACCATTCAGTCCATGTAGTTACGTATTGATATTTGATGCCTAATTGAGATCCTGTTACTGAAACGTTCGAGCTCCCTCCCTCGATCTAATTTTCCGATTCTCATCGATTTCAAGCCAAGAAAATGAGCTGGGAGCTGTCGAACAATTGAGCCGCTGTCCGGCAACTGCGGGTCAGCCGGGGATTGAAGTATAATAATTGAACCCTGATGAAAATCCAAACTCCGAGTAGGGTGCGCGTCAAACGAGACAGTAATGAGATGGTCGCTGACGATTCGTTTAAGACCATGGGACTACTTAACTTCAATGTCTACGGCCCCTCTCCCTCACCCGTGTTGAGTTTCGTCTGGTCTATCGGCTGACCCCCAAACTCTTGAGTATTGTCCCGGAACTTCTGTCACAGCAGGGCCTTATTGACCTGGTGCACGCTCCCTTTGACCTGCAGCTCACTCAAAACCCCCCAATGATCCTGATCCACCAACACCACGAGACGGACCCCCATCACGGGATAAGGGATCGGGCCGCTCTGAGCCACGCCGCTATGGTCGAATCTCGTGATTTCCTGCCACGAATCATTCCGCGGCGGTTTATCCACGGAGTTTGTTTCGATTGTTCGATGGACTTCGTCGAGCTGTTGTCGCGAATCCTGCTGCTGCTGCTGAGCGTAAGGCAAGACCTCGATGGAGGCGTTGACGAAACGATCGTTTGGATGTTCGGCGTCACCACTGCGGAAAAGCACTTTCTCAAGAATCACCGGTTCGTGGAAGGCAATCGTGATGTGGTCACCCGCCGCCGGTAGCAAACCCCAGAACAATGAGTCTCCGAGATAAGCCCGCTCGATGGTGAACGTCTTGTAACTCTTTATCGAAGTTGTGACTTCAGCGGGCACGTTGTCCCGGTGCGCAATGAACAGGTTGACCTTCCCGAACTGGCGATCCTTCAATTTCTGCGTTTTGCCCTTAAGTGATGAATGGGTCCCAACGTGTTGGAAGAGCGACGGTTTGTGGGCAATCCATATGGTCCCCTTCATTTTTCGACAATGTTTGGCGTCTTTGTCGAAACGGCAGACCTTCGTCTGGACGTAATGGTCGAGAATCCAGTCGACCGGCTGATCCGAAGCGAACGTCAAAATGTACGTCGCGAATTTCATGAGATCGACGCATTTGAAAAGCTTGCCGATGAATCCGAGTTGGCAAAAATCGAGGACGAAGAAATTCTTCAGGTTCGAAGCCATTTGCCGTTGTGCGAATTTCAGCATTTGGGTCACGAAACCCGGCTTGCTCAGGATGTCGTCTTCGAGTTGCACGTAGAACTCTCCTCTCGACGACGCGTACATCATCAGATAGGCGAAGTCGTAAGCTTGTTTGGTGCGCCATTTCACCTGGAAACAGTCGAGACGGAATGAATCCCAGAATTTCTTCCCGATCATCTGCTAGCGGGCTCGGAGAATATTGATATCAGACCTCCATGTGATTCGTGGTGGTCACGAGCGCGCGCGGACGAAAATGCAGAGTGTCGGCCTGTGACATGGGGGGCAATGGGCTGTCACGCGAACAATTGATCATCGACATCATCATCACTACCGTCATTGCTATCTTCATCGTTTCAACATAATTTCCGCGCTCTGTCACGTTTTTTTCCACTAAACAAACTACGGGGCCGTCGTGACGGTCAGCAACACGGTCATCAGCGATGCCTGTTGTCGCACATGACAGGTATCATGAGGTGATTTTTTCGGAGCCAACAAAAATGTCGATTTAGCGAGCGATTCCGAAAAAGGAATAAAGCCGAGAAGAACCGCTGTCGTTCGTGATTGTGATCGTAACGGGGAGGTGAAATTCATTACTCACTCTCTGAATGTCGTCTCCAAGGGTGGTTCCGAGGGCATTCATGTCGGGATAAAATTGTTTTGGCGGATTGATAACCTCCACGAGGCCTGATCTCAAGTGTTCGTCGAGAACAGCTCGTACGTCCTGGAGCTGCGCGTCCACCTGCGGAAAAGGAATAAGGTTTATGGTTTCATCCGGACTGCGAAAGTCTCCCGAGTGGCTCTGAGATTTCGTGTCACGAGCGAGCTTGGGTGAATTTGAGCCGAAACATATTGCTTCATCGGAATTCAATACCCTCCTCTCCCGCTTCCCCCGTGCGCTGGACTCTGTGGATACCGACAAAGAGGAGAGGAAAATTCGAACGAACCTTGGACGTATTCGTGTCCGCGAGCAAGATCACGATCAAAGTCATATCTCTTTCCTTTGGGTTCATGTTGGCGATGAGATTCTCCACAGTAGACGTGAGGTATGATTGGATGTCACGCTTTACCGACGGAATCCCTGTAAACGCAGAGCATATGGTACATATTCACGATCGCCGCAAAAATCTCGGATGAGGGCGCTTCAGATTTTGCTCCCTTGCGCAACAACCGTCCGAAGCAGACCAAGTTCCAGAACGAGAGGAAATTATCGGAGGTCCCCGGAGCATGGGAGTCCTGTTCGCCGCGCGCTCTCGACCCGATCGGAAGTCAATTGGATCGGAGCGACTCCTCGTTCGAGCCGTCGGTGTTCGTCCTCCTCGATAGCCGTTCTCTTGCACCATCAACGACACCACGAAGATAGCAATTGACTGCAGTGTTCCGCTCGCTCTACCCGACTCGACCAGTAATCCTCGTTCACTGATTCGAGGTTCGGAGCGACGATGGTGTCGTCGAGCAAGGTCGAAACCCAGCGATCTGCTTTTCTGATTCCTCGTCGCTGTTCCCCTGTTCTCGATCTCTTCTCCCGGGTCGCTCGTCGTCTTCTTCTATCGACTCGCTCGACGAAAATCATCGGAGCATGTACAAGAAGGGTCATATTTTTGCCGAGAACCGATCCGTCACGCTGAACCGCATGGAAATGACGGCGTTCCGTTGGAATTCACTCCGAAGCCGCACCGATGGAAAATTACCGACGGACTCGTGCGACACCTGATCATCAGTCCCTACACCGACAATGATTCGCGATGCTGTTCCGATAAATTCTTATTCTGCGTATTCTTGGGAACGGCTCCATGGCCCCGGCGGGCGGCGGTACTCAACCGAGTCCAGGATCCTATTGGGACGCGACATCCTCATCGCGAGAATAGGCCGGCATAGCCCGAGTACGCGGAACGCGCGGAAATCACATTTCGATTCCCGGGGCAATTCCACCCAGCTACCGGTGAGGACCAAAGAACACCGCTTCCGGAAGCACGGTACAGGACTTACCGAGAACGACTCGCACTCCTGATCTCGATGAGTTGGATACTCGAAGGGCGGGTTCCAAGTGCGTTGAGTTCCTGAGGTATGGCAAGAAATCGAAGATTGAAGGCAACGGAAGGGAGAGGTTCGCGTTGCCTGCAAGCCGTGACTCGGTCTGCATGACGTCATGCCATTTCTTCTGCACCATCAGTTCTGCGTAGCCGACCCTTTGCTGAAAAGATTTGAAAAATTGAGATGGACATATCGATCAAGATCGATATGAAGACTTCACGTCCAAACAGTGCTTTCGAATTCCAGAATCCAGGCCGACTCTTCCCTCGGAACCGCTCCGACACATCCCTAACTACCGGAGGAGGATCGGGGCTTTCTCCGAAAATAGGACTTCCGCTCGGAATTAGTCAGAGGAAAGCGAAAATACTCGGAAATTTCGCCAAAACGAGTTCCGACAGACTGTCTCAGGGGGCACTCCGGCTCACGCTGTCCGTGGTCGTGTCTTGACGTTCCAGAATTCGCTCCGGCTCGAACGACTCCTTCGCGAACTGGCTCCAATCAATGCGACGTCACGATTTCTCGGACCGGGCTTGGATTTCGCGACTTCGATTGTGCGTATCGATTCGAGTTCAGTTCGGTCCAGGCTCCTGCTCGTGAGTCCGGGGGAGGCGTGAGCACCGAAACCGTGCCGATGTTGATTCGGAACCGCGGATACACGGATAAATAAATAAAATAAAAAATCCAGTGAACGGACGCGTTCTCCGCAAGCGGAACGGAGCGGCCGGGTAGGGGAAGCGGGAACCATCGAATGCGATGTTTTCGTCATGTGTGCTGCCATTTCAATTCGACGACGTAATGCGTTTCGTAGTTTGCCATCACTGCTCTAACTCTTTCCCGAAAGCTTCTCGTCATGAGGGTTTCTCTTCGTGTGTTCCCCCGATTCCAGCTGTTCTCGGATCGTGCTGCCCCTCGACCGAATCGAAGTCCGATCGCGATACTTCTGTCGAACACTTTCAGCGGATTGTTTCTCCGCGCCGTCAGTGGACGGTGCGAACTCTTTTTTGCGTGGAATCCCGTTCCAGCCACCCGCTAGCGTAAATGAAAGCGATGCATCGATTCGACGTGAGGTCCTTCTGTGTGGAGCCGAATGCATCTTAATCGTATTCCGGGGCAGAGATGACACTGGGATAAGTAGATGCACGAGAGAGGGTCGTCAATCTAGAGTTCGAACCGCCAGACCTTATCGATACACCGCGCGCACTGCGACCGTCACGCCTGTCGGGACGACCGCATGGTGCGCGAGCATGAGTAAGTGCTGTGTCCCCGCATGGAGACCATACCAGAGCTCGTGAGACTCCTCTATCATTGATACTGAATGCGAATGCATATGAACAGGGTCCTGCGGATCGACGCTGCTCGCGGAAAGATCATACATACTTGGTCAGCTGAACGATAAACTGGAAGAAGCTCGCACCATCAATCACTGGTGTCGCTCCCTCCATGACGAGCTCAGCTGTTGGAATAGTATTCCTCGGTGCAACACGAAAGGAATTCACCGAGCGAATGGCCGGCGAGCGGCGGCGGTATTGTGGCGGCGACAGGCGAGCCGGACGGACGGTCGTCCGCGCGCATATTTGGAACTCGCCTCCGGAGGTCAGACAACGTCCCTCGGGCAAATGTCTGCGTTCGTGGTGGAGGAAGCAGTCGGAACGGATGTTCGTACTCCTGATCGTCTACATTTAGAGCTCGTTCTCGGGAATTCCCGGCTCGGAACTGGTGTTTGTCGGAATGCTTTCCCGTTCATTCGGGTATGAGCAGATACATGTAACACGTAATTATCCGTAGGCAGACTAAGCGGGTGACCGGGCAGACGAGCCAGCTCAAACACAATACGAGCTCAGGCAAAGATATCCTTACGAGATATACTCCGATTACCCGACACGTCTTCGCGTCGAAACCGAGACTCTGTATTGACTGTAATTGATTTTTTTTCGGTCAGCGAATACTCCCGTGTGTACTCGTCGGGGAACCATTAGTGAATCTGCTTCCCTGAGCGGATAACGAGGTCCATTGATCTTGAACTTCCGCGCGAACCACGGAAGCGTATTGTGAGTCGGAAAGTGAAGACGAAGTCGATCGACCGAGGCGCCGGCTTATAGGCGCGAGCCACAGAAGGTTTGGCGTTCAGCAGCCGATCCGAGGGCATCTCGTCGTGACATTCACGCATGAGCTGACGTCTGCAACGCACCTTCACTCGTGGAGGTTAGGTGGATAGAATCTTGAAACGAAGGAACTTCCGTAAACATTCGTGGAGTCGTGTTAGCGTGATTCGACAACGTGGACGCTCAAAGAGGCTTATTCACGCTTAGGAACGCCTAGCGACGCTGAACGGGAGAAACAGCCAGCGGCAGAGCAAACGTTCCGCTTAATTCTGAGAAACGCCGGAGTCGAGCTTTTCGGATCAACTGGCTGGCCACGGACTCTTTCGACCGGAGGCGTTATCGCCGCCGTCGCTCGGGTGCCGCTGATCCCTCCGCTATGCACCCGCTCCGAATCGTCGGGCATTGTGTTCAAAGTGGACGAAAGCGCCGGACCGAGCTACGAATGAGAAAGTGATCAACAAAAACGAATTTTCCATCCAACCCGAATCGTAATTCTTCAGTCGTTTCCCCTCAGGATGATTTCCCCACGAAGGAGCCCCATCGGGTCACCACCTGTGCAAAGGTCATGCAGAAAATCTCAGTCGGAGTCGAGCTCTTTCGGAAACCCCGCAATTGATAGCGCGACAAAATGTTGTCGGATTCCAGTTTTCAATAACAGTGCCGACAGCGGCGGGAACGATATAAAAAGAACGACCGGGAAACGACACGACGCAGGTGCGTTACGCCTTCCCGCCCCCCTTCGCCCCCCCCTCCTGGGAAAGGGGAAGATCTTCTGGGCGGAAGCTTTCCTGAATGTTCTCCTTCATTCACTCCATCGGTGGGGCTTTAATAAAAACCCGACGCGGAGAGTGTCACGGAGCGAACCATCTTGCCCCGAGAGCACAACTCAAAATTTAATACGCTTCCCACGATTACGTCGGCGTGCGTCGCTCGATCTCATTGCAAGCGAGAATATCAGGAAGGGAAGCCGACGCCGACGGAGTGCACGATGAAATACTCGGCGGAGACTCGAGCAACCGGCTGTCCCGTCGGACAGATCGTCTTCCGAAACAATGAATTCAAAATTCGATAATTTCTAATCGATATTCCGCATGTCTATCACGCAGATCGAGGAGAAGTCTCTCGCCCTCATTGAAGTCCTGAAAATATCATAATTCCGAATCAGGAACAGATTCGGATGGGAACTGCAGTCCATGCCGTTCCCGAAACGATGCCCATTCGTTTCCGGAAGAGCGATCGTTTCCTCCCTTCCTTATTCTCGTTCAGTCCCCTTCCTTTCTAGTCTTCCTTTTTTCTTCTTCCGAGCGATTCTTCGCATCTAGTTCGTGAGTGAACGGTCGTAGCTCTTGAGTTTCTCATGGATCCGATGCAATAACAGGGATAACGGGTTTCACTTGAGCGCCTTTACAATTCGGCCGTTCGATTTCGTTGGGAGCCGTGGTCGCTTCCGAAGTGAGAACTGTTGCATCGTCGAGATAGGCGCATCGATTACCGGCAACAGAAGGAGCAGCTGCATCGGCGTATGGAATGCAATTCTGCTAATACACCGCATCATGAGGGCGGACCTTGGACATCTACATACTTATTTGGAACTATAGTGGACGTATCGCGACCTTGGCGTTACGCCACGCTGACCAACTCCAACGTGGCCCAGCGCCTAGCGACTCGGAGCTCGCAGCGTCGACGTCACAATTTCGACCGTCGGAGAACGTGCGAGGCGAGAGCCGAGTTTCGTTACGAGTCGTATCAGGCTCCGAGTCTAGTCACTCGATGCCATTGCTCGCGTTCTGTCAGAGAATGAACCTCTCCATATTCGAGTTCGTGTCCCCTCCCCGAGAGGCAGGGTGCAGCTACGAGAAAATCTCAAAATTGGGGTACCATTCGAATTTGAAAGATTGTCGCAGAGTCGATAAGTCAAAAGAAAGCTGAGGACGGGGAGTCTCTTTGGGCATACAGCCAGAAGTTCCATCTCCAGCATCGATGCATCTGATCCGTCATCGGACCTGATCGTTGACACGGCCACGTCACACGTAGTGGTGGACGGCATTGGTTACGACACAATAAAAAAACAATTGTGGGAACGATTCTGATGCCGCTGCCACGCGGACATCGTATTCTTACGGCGGATATCTGTGCTTCACCAGCTAAATAATTACCGATTGAAATCTTTACGGCGGTCATCAGCTCGAACTAGAGAAAACAGATCTGGATATCGAGAATGACATCTGCCTTTGGACTGATGGTGTCAGAGTGAAGTTTGTGGCTCGGAAGAATTGAAGTTCTCTTCTCAGTCAGAAACTAAGCGCGCGATAGACCGCCCCTGTCGACGGCGCGCGCCAGAATTTTTTCTTCTGAAGAAGAACGATATTCTGAAATTCAATTTAAAGTCTATGCAAACAAGCGCGGTGTCGGAGGTTGAAAAAACATGAAGGAACATTACAGAAAGGAGTAGACTAAATGGAAAAACGGAGAAGCAGACCCCGGGAAGAAATGAAAGAAACGGAAGACCCTAAGGCTAGCACCTGCATCGCATTCCTTCCTATGATTCCATCTCCCGTCCACCGACGGCAGCCGACGGATTGAGCCGTGCCATCATCAGAAGAAAGACTCCGACTGCGGAAACTTGTATAGGCGGATGAGGGAATCAACCGAGGAGGACTCGACTCCTGTTTCGCGCAGATGAACGCCTGCGTTGGATTCCGCACATATTGACGATCTTCAAGAGCGTCACAATTATCTTTGTGGTAACAATCATGATCACACTGACCGAAGGAACAAGGGACCCGGGCTTGAATCATTGCTCAGTCGGCCGCGTCTGTGAATCCTGAGTGAATCGCTGATTCTACAGAAGTTCCGTCACGACATTCGAGAGTGACACCGATTCATGAACCGCTGTCGAATATCATCTCAAAGCGGATCGAACACTGGACGGGGTCTACACCCTTTTTTCATTTCGCGTTTCTTTCTTCGTCACTGGAAAGCTCGCGGCCTCTATCCTCTTACGACGCGAGCGGTGTAAAAAAACGACGAATAATATAATTCAAGCCCTTCGGAATGAGTGTCCGCGTGTGATTCAATCGAGTAGCCGGTATCAAAGTCGCACCAGACTTGTTTTGCACAGATTCTCACGATTCACTCACTCAGTCAGTCAGTCAGTCAGCCAGAGCACCGGATTGGACCGCAAATCAAAGCCTGCTGAGTAGTGGTATCTTGAAACAGGGTTGAAGAATGCGGCACGGGCGGACATTTGCGATCTTTACCGAGAACAAAAGATTTTCCACCGCGACAAGCAGGGGTTCCAGCACGAGGTGGTTTACGCTCGTTCTCGTTCCACGTCCATTAAGAGAGGCATAAGCGTGACCCAGAACGAGCCACCGAGTATAAACATCTTGTCGGCGGTACGTGTACACTAAACAACAGGTTTTCATCGAAATCTTCCAGACACTTCGTGGTCAGACAGTCTCTCGATCGAGATGAGCAACAGCACACCTCTAACGCACGCGTACCGCCAGAGAATCGAACGAGATCTCAACGAGTGATACTATTATTTATTCTCCATCACCAGGCTCGAGATTAGCCCGAGATTGGAAGTCGAGACTGTCTCACCGTCTGAACGACGGAACGCACGCGAGCACGGGTGTCTCGTATCTGTTTATTCCGAGAGAAGAAAAATTGATAACCGACCCGCCAAAAAGAAACAAAGGATGTTTTTTGAACAACATCCGTTCAAGTAGTTCGGCCATCGTGTCTTTGAAAATGGAAAAACTGACATTGTTTTGTGTTTTGAGTGACGGAGCAAGTGACAGCTCGCAAGCCAGCTAGCTGGTTTGCCAACCAGACGGCCAGCGGAGCGACCGACGGAGAGCTCCGTGCTGCTGCCAGCACCATAACAAATCCAGATGGAAGGATGGAATCAAGACGGCCGGCGTAAAGATAAACCACCGCTCGTAGGGACGAGATAGCGCGACTAACCTGTAAGGATTCGACCTTTCCTTGGAGATCGAATTTGACCGTTTCCATCGGCGGACTCGGCACGGTGAGGGCTCCGTAGTATACGCACAGGAGAGCTCCGGTTCCGAGCACGTAGCCCGCGAGCATCAGAAGGATTTTCGGCCGTACCATTCTCGAGCTTCATAGTTCGAGTAGCGGCATAGTGTTCATCTTGGGAACGATTGTTGGACTTTCGACGGCTGCCGCCGTCTCCGTGGTCGTCGTCGACACTCAAGACACTGTAAACCGTGTTCCTCCTTCTGTGTGATGATGTCGGCGGTGGTGGCATCGAACTGGATGGGCGAGGACTTCGACGCCGGTGGCAAGGGCTCCTCGTGGAAAGCCGCCGCTGCGAAGGAGAAAGGGACTTACAAACCGTCGACTGAGTGAGCCACCATACAGCGGGCTCCCTGACTGACTGAGATTCCTGTCGGTTTGGCTCGCCGACGGCTGACCGGGCGCCTGACTTCGCTTCGAGGCCGGCCGGTCGGTCTGCGGCTCAGTCCCTCGTGCTCGCAGTCTATCAGTCAGGCAGTCAGTCGGTCGGCCGTCGCTCGTTCACGGTCTGAGCCTGGTGCTTCAACGGTCCCGCAGGCAAGGCTATGAATGGCAGGCGATCAGGCGATTATCCCAGCCTGAGGTACTCGGATGGACCCGGCTCACAAAACAGCGAGGGGAATTAGATTCCGGGGGGACTGGAGACTCATGTTCGACGCTGATAAGAGCGACACGCTGTCAGGCCAGAGGAAACCATTTCAACACTTCGACGTCCGCATCTCCCTCGGATCGGAAAAGGTTCGGAGAGAATTGTATGCCTCGCATCTGGTTCGAACTGGGCTAATCGTTCAAAGTACCTAAATCAATAATTTGAACTCAGGACAGCCCGGTCAGCATCGTGTCGCCCTTCCATCCACGTGAGCTTAGAAACGTCGCTCGCCAGACGAAGGCAGACTCAGTGGTCGCGCACAAATTCGATTGCAATCAACGTGAGGTGATATCGAGTTCTTCAATCATGGAAACGGTACAGCATTGACTGTTGGAACGCGCATGCTCTGCTCCCGGACCCGCCCCGGACAGGGAGCCCGCCCACGACATCAAATATGATGTACTCACATATTGGCATGAGAAATGTTCAATATGATATGATTGCCGACGAGGACGATGTTGGCGGCAAACGTTAGCTGCGGAAACTCCTCGGCGCGCTCTGTTCAGGGCTTCCGATCTGCGTCCGTTCTGGGCGTCGCGTAGAAGAGACGCTGGCAAATGCACTCCCTAGAGCCTAGTGCTCATACTCCGAGGTCTCGCCCATATTCCCGATTCTCGAGCCCTCCTCTTCCTCGGAGACAAACGGGAGAAAGGTTCAAACGTGGTCAAGCCGTAGACCGAAAACGCAGAAAAATCTCATACTCTTCGTTTATTCAAGATCTGAATCACGTGAATGTCTGGTCCCGATCTGAGGAGCGGGTGTCCATTGGGCTGTGAACTCCCGTGACTGGATGAGCGTTGACTGTGGTGACTCACGCGGTACACCCGAGGAAAATCAGAATCTGCCTCACAGCTGGTCAGGCGGATGATGGGATAAATGATACTGGCCTACAATCTCTTCTTTATTGAAAAATTCCGAGTATCGAAATATTTTCCCTCGAGTGGTAATGGGCGCTCTCGCTCCCCCTCGGTTCCTCGTTCCCCCCGGAGGACGGTCATTCGTCCCCGAGTAGTTTTCCGCGGCGTTGATCACGAGGAATGAAAATCAGAGACGAACTCGAAGGGCGCGCTGAGAGCCTACAGCGTGGAATTAAGGCAAGACGAACTCGTCAAAGAGGGACATTGAGCGCGTTCGACCCATCGTGTCATTTCAAATTTCGGAAGCGACGGCTTTAGTGTCACGCGATCTGGAATCGCTCATGGCTGACGGGGTCCATTCAGCGAGCGTCACTTTCTCTGAAAGCTCATCGAGTTTCAATAAAAGCGGAGAACTTTTCACGGGCGTGATTTCAATGATGACAACTCTCTGCTGAGGGCTTTTGTGCATCCTATCACGCAGTCCTGCACTGAATTTATTCGCGATTTCCCACATTTAGGCTGTGAACATGAAACCGTGGAAAAAATATCATAGTCTCCGGAGTTTCCATCTTTCTACCGGCGGATTAGAATCAGAAATTTCCTTCCGCGTAGCACGATCATTGGATGGGGGAGCTCCTTATCGCGATAATCGTGATAAGGAAGCCGTCGGTGCAAGGAACTTGGAATTCCGGATATAATCTGCAGGGACAGATCTCTTGCCTGATCCATTCGAGCAACTCAGATTGTCTCAGCCTGATTCCTCTTCCCAAGGAAACGGAATTCGAAAATTCCCATGATCCCGGGGATCATTCCAATAGGAGAGGTTTAGCGGGCTCTCCTCGTGACCTAAGCTTCCTAGAGAAAAATCAATAGGCCCTGTCGCGTCTGGGGAGGGATGCGTTGGCATTCCAAGCACTCAGAGAGCGCACAACGCCCCGAGCGGGATTCAGGATTCTCCGTCTAACTGACGTATTTATGGATCCGTATTTTCGTTTCCATGGAATTTGGATGGGCGAGTGATGTACGGGAGCGAGTAGTTTGCCATGGAGAAGTCAAACAAAAGGAGAAGGCTCTAGGCGGGGTGTATCCCGATTGATGTTCCGACTATCCTACCTCGGGAGCTCTCAAGACCGAGCTCTGAATTCTGTGCACTCGGTAATTCAAATGATGGAACTGGGGACCCGGACCTAAGCCGACATTTCTCGACTCCCCGGCGCACAGCTCCAGGATGGCCCTGATTCAATATGGGAATCCTCTGAATTTCCATCCGAATATCTCGATTCGAATGCAGCTCTCACTCCCATTCTTCCCAGAGATTTTGATTTCTCGGAAACTCTTGGATCCCCGAGGTATTGTGCACTCCGGTGCTGCTGACTCAGCGACAATGAGCGGGAAGCTCCTGTGATGACCCCGTTCGATGCCTTCTGCAAGTTTTCAATTCAGAGGGACGGGGAACCAAGTAAAAAAAGATCTGTTATTTGGATAGTGCCCTGCTCTTTCGAACGCTCCCAAGCGTCGCCGTCGCTTCTTCCGCCTTGTTCGGCTTGTGTTACAAGAATTTCGGCAGAGAAGGGGCTCATCGCAGCCTCGCCGCTGACTTCAGTTTCAGTGGCACCAGGGAACCCTCATGAGGGGAGAATGTTTCTGTTATGCAGCACATTGAATTTTCGTTCCAGGAATAGTGATGAAGCGTAGGTTCTCGGAGATCCACGACCGGAAATCGAACAGACAGGAGCGAGCTTACCCGGAGACAATAATGAAAGCATCGTATGATTATCATCAAATACCGACGTCATTATACCATGAGAGGTGTTCTGCCGTGATTCGAGAGTCAGCAATCGCGTTTTCTGCATATCGCCGGAAATTCAGGGAAAACTCCGATGTCCGGGGCCGATGGGACGGGATCTCCCTATCCTCTCGCTCTTGCTACGAGTCGTCGTATCCAATCCTATCCAATCTATATCTCGAGAGAGCCAGATAATGCGAAGGTGAGCTCGGCACAACGGAGGATCTGTGATTCGGATCGATTCCGGTGGACGAATGTCGCAAACAATTATTGGCGAACTAGTGCCGTAGTTTCCTGGAATGCCGAAATACACAAAAGAGGGGTGGGTGGTCTTCGCTTCATTGTACGCCCTCGTCTCAACAGAAGTTCGTATCCTTCCTTCTCTCATCTTTGCGGCGCTCAGTGTACTCCGCATAGGCTAGCAAAGTTACTTCCGCTCGTAGGATCGCATGGTGTGGCCGGAGCGAGATATCAGCGTCAAGCATAATCGCCCGAATCATCAGAGCTGGGATGTTCTTTCCAAAAAAACTTCGAGCTCCGGAGTGGGATCATCTTCAAACAGGCGAAACCGGATTGTGGGAAGTCCTTGTGTGAATGGTCCTCCCTGTGGAGGGAGACTTATCCTCCGTTCCGAGATATAAGGTGTCGCAGATCACAGACTTTATCCTCAATGCGCGTGGTGCGTCCAAGGCAATGATTTCAGCGAACTCCATGGGAAGGATCGAATAATAGCAGCTGACACGGAGACATAGAAATTATTTGCTTTGGCGAATCGAAGTTGAGACGCTCGAACCTCCGCAAGACTATCCCGCTGCAAACCTGCGAGTTTCTGCCATCCGGATTCGGCACCGCAGGGTATGATCCGAGGAAGTTGAGCGATATCACTACATGGGAACATCCGCTCGTTGAGGCTGCTCGAGTCTCCCTCGAAGTCATCATAGAAAATGGCGATGTTCTTGATGATGGTCATCCCCACCGTCTCCAGAGAGCTTGCATTTCCGAGTTCAAGGTTTTCTCGGACTCAGTAGCCTAGTGAGGCGGGGGCGGGGGGGCGGACCGCCCCGGGTGGCACTTCCTACGGAGCTTTTAGGGGCGGCATTTCGGGGTTTTGCATCTAAAAAAACGGAGTGTTTTCGAGGAAAAAATATCTGGCGGGGGGCGGCATTTTCGTCGAGCACGGTGAAAAAACGGAAAATTTCGAATCACCGCCCCGGGCGGCGCTCCGGCTCGCTACGCCACTGCTCGGACTACCCGGAAATTCTATGCTAATCAATCCCTGTTGGAGAAGTCTGTCTCTGGGGGAGAATCCGCGCTGGGAGCCTTTAGCGGGTGCTCCCCTCGATGGAAACGGATAAAAAGTTGCAGCTCCTTCCGGTTCACTGATCTCCGATCATCTTCACCGACTCTGGACTCCCGCGGCGCGTCCCTGAGAGGCCCTCCATATGCCCACCCGGAGCGGGGTAGGGCCCTTGAACTTGATTTTTCCGATTCCATTCGCAGGGGCCCATGGATGACTTTTTCTGCGTTCCTGCTGTTCAAGATATGCGCTCGACAGAATCTTGTTCCACTGGACTCCTCCGTCTCGATAAGGCTTAGAACGGTCACCCGGAGCTTCTCCCTGTCACCGTATAGGATGCCGAATCCGAAGTCAAGTACTCTCAGAACACAATGTTGGTATCGCTGTCGCAGGATGTCACATAGCAGCTCCGATCGCGGAAGTCCATGAGGATCCCGACGATTCCACAATTTAGAGTCTCAATGCGAGAGGCCAGTGCGGGTAAGCGTACTCATGTAGCTCCTGCGGACGACTCAGGATGATGTGCATATCGCCCCGTTCAGCAGTCAGCACTCCATTCTCCGTGCTCCCCATTTCGAGCTCTCTTGAGCGATTCCCAGAAGCCATTGGGATGAGATTGTGAGTCTCTCCAGTTGACCGAAGAAGGCTCGCGGGCGTGTGGGCGGTCGGCAGTAGGTCGAAAATTCCTCAATTCTAGAAGTTCTCATACACTATATACAAGGCGAAGTGTCGCGACTGCAGGAAGCGTCGTTCCATGTAACCGATGGATGAGCAGGTTCCTGCGTTGATGCAACGGGATCAATTTACGTTCCAAATCCATGCTCGCGAGCGACGTTCTATGATGATAATTGATTGCCCGAGAATTTGAAAAATATCGCTGTAGTTTCTTTCACAGTTAGCTCGCTTCCAGGACAATCAGCCTCCATTGATAAGCGTTCCGCGCCAAGGAATGCAAGTTTACCACTGTGGTGCGTAAGCTCGAGTCGGCTCGCTCGATTCCCGAATTCGCCGAGCAAGGTTGAAGGATCAGGCCCTCATCGAGTCATTAGTTTGACAAAGAAGACAATCGGAGCAGTTTCAGAGGAACACTCACTCCTGACGCCCCCAGGAGCAGAGCTCCAATGATCGAGATATATCCGGATTCGTCGATATGCGTGATGCAGAATGGCCCAATCAACGAACGCACTTGAGAGCATCATGCACCGCATGAACCAACTCTCCGAGACCGATTCTGTCGATTGACATTGATTGACTGGACAAGCGAAGTCGCGGGAAGCGAGCACTCCGTAGAGTCAGAGATCTCCCCCGGACTCGGACAAAGCGACGATCTCGAAACCAAGCATCCATCGAATGAGGAATGGTTGTCCTATGCAGTCACCGCTCGCCGATCGAAATTCACTATGTATAGAGCCATGAAACCGTTGATCCAGGAGCGCCCGATCAGGTTTTGTGTCTTGGAATGCGCCGTACCTCGAACATCCGAACTGTACACGGAATCTACCGATCGATTGAATCCAATACGCAGAAAATATCCTCGAAGAAAATGTCCCTCCCTGAGGTTTATTCATTCTTCCTATCGAGAGCGAGACTGATCCAGGTCCCTATTACAACACCGCATTCCCCGTTCCCCCTTCGGGATAGGTCAAACACGGACTCGGGACTCATGGTCGTAAGGTCGAGTCGAGATAAAATTCATTCAATGAAGCCTCTCCGAAGCGGATTAGGTACTCTTCTCTCGACCCCCTCCTTCGCTCAGGGCACGCTAGAAGCAGCTCCTTGGGAAGAAAAGTTTAGACATCCTTGGAGACTTTGACAACAGCAGCAATAATAATAATAATAATAATAATAATAATAATAATAATAATACAGATACCCTAGAAAGCATTTCGACGTCGGGATCAGAACGTCTCGCTAGGCAGAAATACATTATCACACAAGCGGCTCTATACAAGTTCTCTTGTAGACAGCATCCGAAAACCGTAAGAATTTGTCTTCGGAAATCAGAACATCAGCTGGAGCCGCATCACTTGGGCTCCAGAGCGATGAGTTTTCGATAGAGTGCCTGGAGGTATGTGAAAATGCATTTCCAGTCGGGTTTGTCCGTCAACAGCATATCTTCAGTCGCCAGGAGCGGTGTGACGCCCAGTTTTTCCCTGCAAATTCCATTCAAAGCGATGATGACAAACATGTTTGATCATTGCACTCCAGGACGGAGTCGCTGACTCCCGCCGAATGAGTATCGCAAAAGCTGGGAAGCGTCCGTGTGTTTCCACAATATTCTTAGAGGAACCCACTCAGCCGTGTTGAAAGCGAGGTCAAAGTTTTCCTTCTTGTTCGCCGGATCTAGAGCGGAATAGTCGAAGGCATCGGGCAGATGGTGATGAATCAGAGCACAGAAAGCCAGACCGTTGTTCCAAGAGGTGGAGAAATTCTCGATGTTCACGTTCTGGAATGAAAATCAATCGGAGCTCTTCTAACTTCGATCGGGAAACGGCCCTCCGAATCGCTGCGGCCTTGCCGCGTCCTCAACATGCAGGCGTCGCCCAGCAATGACGCTCCTAGGCGTCGGCGTCGCGCCGGAGCAATGCCTCGGTTTCCGCAAGTTGCGTCGCGTTATAACGAATGGAACAGCACGCTAGGACCCCAATTCCTCTGGGTCATTCTACATGAACGGGAGAATAAGTTCCAATTTGACCGAACGAGTTCGTTCTTGAAGCTGCGAAAGGTTTGTTCTTCAAGAACCACATCTGCTTGCTACATGCAACTGAGGCTAAGAGCGCGGGAGGTAGAGAAAGCTGACCTTGGTCGTCACTCAACAAGTGTAAGGTGCATTTCGCTGACTGCAAACGAGCCTGATCGTTTTGAAACAACCAGACCTTGTCAACTGTCTCGATTTGAAACTTATCTTCGGGACTTTTCTCCGGCTGAAGGGTCGCGATTCGCGAATAACCGGCGATCATGCATCACCATGATGAACAACGATGCCGGGTGAGCATGAGCCTACAGACTCTGTCTACATGCAGCGAGACCCCGGGATACACTCGGACGTTGATGGTGCTTGCTTTCAACACTTTCTCGAAGCGACCCTGAGGCGCTTCATTTTATTGACCGCCAGCAAGATACGCTGACGTCTGACGAAACACTTCGGATGTCTCATCAAAATTTACGCGTAGCGGCTCACGACAGTCACCTTGAGCCCAGAGCTTCGAGTCGGCTTTCAAGGCAGCAAAGTTTTCCAGAATCGCTTTTGTGTTTATTCCGGTGGTTCCTTCCCGCGAGCGCGGGATCCGAGCTCGTTTTTTCTCCACACTGTAGAGTGAATCTCCGAGCAGTCCCATTGTCGCCACCTGGCGGGTCGTCTGATAATAATTCGGATGAACTCACATCATATTCCTTGGTCTTAGCTTTCGCCCATCTGAGGAGCATGTCTTTTGCTTCGGCCACATTCATCGGCATCTTGACTCCTGGAATGAATAGAAGACCTGAGGAATTTCATCAATCACTGTGTCAATCCGCTGAGCTTAAACGGAATCTTAATGTCCATTCCGATAGCTTCTTCGATTGTCGGAGATTAGAGCTGAATCTGATGGGCTACGAGATGACGTTTCGCGCAGAAGTATTACCTCGATTCAATCAAACTCGCGGAAAAACCAGACGATTCTTACGATGGGGGTAGCGTCCGGGAGAAGCCCCGTAAACTGCAGCCCATTCTGTTACGCTGAATTTTGAGCGAAGAGAATCTGAGCTCCATCAAACACTCGGAGCCTGATGAAGCCTCCGGACTCATGCTCATTCGAGGCTTCCTTATCTCATCGCAAGAAGAGCGAAGCTTTGCATTCACTCAGCTCGAAAGACATACGGACCTTCTCTCGCGGTCACCGACTGACTCATCATTGCATCTGTGACTCGCTTGAAGTCAGATTAGAACCTGCTCTCAAACACCTCCCATTGCCTCGAGCTCTGCTTGCGCGCGATCCCGAATCATCGAAGTTTCGAATAAGAAAGCCGGAGATAATCGGGAGTACATCGCACCGAGGTAAAGGGAATGCTCTAGTTCTTTGGGGTGCGACTCAGGGTTGGGGAAAATCATAATCAAACCTATGACTATGATTAAAATCATAGTCAAAATCACAGATATCTGAAAATCACAAGTATGATTATGATTAGAGTCATAATCATAATCATAATCACAGCAATCCTGTGATTTTGCCGTAATCATACCCGTAATCATAGGATTTCCGTCAAGACACGGGTTTTGAGGATGATAGGTATGTATCTGGGGGGTTTCGGCATACTGGATCTCGATTCTTGCATGGGTTCGCCCTGATCCCCCCTCCTTCTCCTCCTGCGGCTCAGGCGAAGGCTCTCCTCGTCGATGTCGCCGTGTCGCGATCACTCGCCTGGATGTTGACCTTCCGCTCGCTCAGCGCGAAGCCCGGGAAATTTTTTCGCCTGCGCGGAATCTTGCGATGCTGGAAGCTGTGACTGCGGGTATGGTCACGCCTGTGATTATGATTATGAATTATGATTTCAATCTCAATCATCTTTATGTTTAATCATTGAATAATCCTGTACCCTGTGGTGCTAGGAACTGTGATTACGGGTATGATTACGCCTGTGATTATGATTATGGTTATGATTACAATCATAATCATAGTCACAAAAATCCGATCTGTGATTATAATCATAGTCATAGGTTTGATTATGATTTTCCCCAACCCTGGTGCGACTCGATGATCTTGAGCCTATCTGAGCTTTCGGAGAAATATAGGGAGATGCAGCACCGGGACGCCGGCGCCGTCGGAACGTCGCTACAGATCGGCACGGATGTCACTCCATCGAAAAACTCAACGGATCTTCTATGATTCTCGGACAATTCAGGGCGGGGAAAGCATGTGAGATCAGCCTCCGAAACTCGATGGCCGGTGTAGATGTGAGATGGGATCGTCAGCCATGCAAAGGGATTTCAGTCACTCACCGACAGGCGTACGTGAGTGGTTCAATAGTCTGCTTTTCCAGAGCAGTGGGCTCAGACATCGGCTCTAGTTCACTATATGTTCAAGTCGTTCTATGTGACCGCCCTATTGAGGGAGGGAAGAGGGTCAGGCGCCTACTGCCTAAACCGCATCTCAACCTCAGCAATCTCAGTGGTCTCCTTGAACAGTTATAAACAGTCATCGCTGCTGACTATCGAGACTTCTAAAAAATAGATCTGACTTTCAAACCCGTCGTATAACCTTAAAAGTACATCGGGAGTCCACAGCCTGGCTCTCTATCCCATCATCGGCAGACTCGATCCATGTGCACCCAGACACTCGGAGAGGTTGGAGAAAAGTCTAGCTCAAGGGCTTTCAGGAGCTTGATGGGAATGGGGAGCGAGCATCTCGCATCTTGAGAAGTTCAAGACGATCGCCGATCGTGACTTCACGGCGCGCCTCCAAGAGCACGGACGATCACATGACTTCAATCGCGAGGAAGGCGGTTGTATGGATGCTTCCCGCTAATGAGCCTCGAGGGAGCTGACTTTCCAGTGAGATTGCGCAAATTTCATGAGAAGCGTCTCCTTAGACTGTTTTTTTTCGAGGCCTCTGGGAAACGTCGAAAGCTTAATTTATTCGTGGTTGAGGGTAGGCATCCTATCTCGCCACATTATCCAGTCTGCGAGAGGCTATGCAGAAGCGAATGGATGGGAACGAACTCCTTTCTCATTTACACCAGCAGGGGACCCATGGAATCGCCGAAAGCTCGAGGATGTCACTTTCGTCCCGAGGCTACGCGGCGTGCCCTAAAACGTAACAGAAATCCGTCAACTATGCGGACGGTATGTCGAGTAATCAGCTCCTAGAACAAAGCGATAGCCGCTCAGTCAGTCCTCCCGATCGATTCGCGAAAGTCTTTGCGCAGCGAGGAAAGAAATCGCGTCGAACCACGGCATCAATACATTGCACGGGCGCAAGTCCTTGCTTCGATTCGGCCCGCTTGATCCGCTCGTCGAGGGAAGTCTCGCCCATCCGACAATATGATTTCGAGTCAAGCACGTGCCGTATTCAAGAAAGGGTTGGAATATCCTCGAGATTGAACTTATTCTCACATCGGAGGGAGGAGTTTCGCGAAGACTCTCCTTCAAAAGGTTGCTCCGTACGGGAAAACTAGCCTGCGATCGTCGCCGAACTCCGGAAGGTCTTTTGAGCTTGGCAATACAATATGATATATTCTGGAGTTAGGTACACCCAGAGCCCGAAATCCGTATGGAACGACGTTGGACAGCTTCCGATCGACTTCTTGACGAGGTCGTAGTTGCTCTCTAGACAGGAGAGCGGTGTGACTTGAAGAGGAAGATGCTACCTGGCCAAAGTTTTGCACAGCCAAAGGCAGAGCACGGGATCCTTCTTGATCAAGACGATCAAGCATAAGACGATGAGAGATCCATTAGAGCGAGCTCCGATCGGACAACATAGGAGATTCGGAGCCACAAATTGATGTTCGCAGTCATGGTGACCCAGATTCCGACTGAAGGCTGCTGTGCGGGAGGAAATCCCGTCGAGGGTGCAGTCGGAGGAGGTGAGGTCAGCCGGAGTACGACAGTTTCGGAGGAAGACAATGCCATGACCTCTCATGTGCACTGAACGTCGGAACCACTGATCGAACTTCAGGGTAGATTGCTCGAACAGTCGTTTGCAATTGGGCACCACATTATCGAATCTTCTGCGTGAATGAGATGCTAGACGTTTGAGGGAATGCGATGCCGTCGATGTACAAATGAAGTCGGAGCAGGGAGAGCGTGTTTGCCTAGAGGGCAGCCCGGCGTCGCATCGGAGCCAAAGAATGGAGAAGAATTGACCTTAACCCTGGAGTTTGTGTCACTTGGGTGATCTCGCATCAGGCTCACCACGAAAGGGTTGAGACCCAGCGCGTGAAGTCTCCTCATAAGCATCATATGATGTAGCCCATCGAGATAGTTCCTATCAGAAGACGTTCGTTTGTGATGATATCCGGATTTCTCTTACAGAGGATGATAATAATTCTTCCCACAAATAATAGTTCTCTTCCGAACTCTCTGTGCCCAGCGGCCGGCGATCACCGCCATTCGCCAATATGACTCACGTGCCGGAGCCGTCTGACTATCGACCCATCCAACGGAATCAGCAGGAATCCGATGCCGAGCTCGGAAACCTTCTTCTCTAGGAAGGCGTGCCGACATGGCGAACGGGCAACCGGCGACCGGCTGGCCCGCGTTCTCCACAGTCAAGAGCCTACAACGAGTGCACGAGCAAGAATATCTTATCCCCCTGTGGAATATCTCGTCGAGAAGAACGAAGCTCGGCGCGTGGTGGTTTGATTGACTCCATCCCACGAGCCTGCCTCTGGGCCACTAACCCAAAGTGGATGGTAGTGCCGTCGGGCCCGTGAGGAGCACCGTCTGCGCTCCCGAGCATATGCAGTGGCACTTTCTGAAAAACCGAGGAGAGCGTCATGCTCTTTCCACTGACAACAGACCGCATCGGGCCCTCTCCAGAGCGTCACATCATCGTGTGTCTGGTTTGTTTTGCCATCGCTCACTGTCGGAGTTCGCTTCTCTCCAGAGGAGAAGGACTGCGCTGCAGGAAGAATCGGAGCCGAAAAGTCGAACAGCTTAGGATGATCCATGAGTGGGGTGAACTTGTTGCTTCTGATGTGTCTTAAGCGATTGCCTTCGATGTCATGAGCATCACGAGCGTTGACTTGACCGATGTGAGTCGGGGGCCTCCGTCTGAAGCGGCCACCGACCTCAAGAAACATGAGAACGGGCGCGAACGTCTCCGCCGCCTGCTGCACTCCCAACGATTCCAAGTGAGCTATCCGTCGACATACAGCGATCATTCTGATCTTGATCAAGCCATTTCTCGGAGTGAGAGGCTAGGATTAGGATCTGTTGTTAGATGCTGACTTTCAGCAACAGAGAGAATAGTAATAAGGCTCAGGATAGACATAAGCTTTGATCGAAGCTTCGAATCATTAATGCCCTCACTCCGACAAGTTTACCTCAATGGATCCGCTCGATGAGACGCGTTCTTTCCTCATTATCAGCCGTTCACGGGCAACCCTCCGCCTGGCTGAAAGTCATTGAAGCGCGAAAGCAGACGGATTCAAGCTCTTATTTTAATCCAGCATTCTCATCGAACCCATGCATTCGCATTGTAGCTTTTTCTCTCCTAGATGGGACTCTGTATATCCTCTCTGAAGGTTTCTCTGACTCCCCAGCTCATCGTTTGCGTACTGATCATCCTGGATATCATCTTCATTATCGTTGAGCTTCTCGCCGAAATGAAGTTCTTGGAAACGAATATCCTCGAACTACCGGAGCACTCATTGTCAGAGAGCCAATGGGCTCATGTGGGTATCTCTGGAATGCAAAATTTTCTCTCTCGAGTCGATACCAGTCGATTCGTATCGTGTGTCAGAAAAAAGAGTTCATCGAGATTATCATCTCTCTGTTTCTACTGAGCGATAGCCTTTCACCCCATCCCGAGTAGCGTGCCTGCAAAACTGAGGAAGCCGTCCAGGATGACGCCCCTTCAATTTCAGTGGGCTCGTAGGTTGTCGATCACCGTCTTATTCATATTTCTGATCGAAATCTTCGTGAAGGTTTACGCATTCGGTTGCATCGATTTCTTCAAACACAAACTCGAGGCGAGTCCGATGGAACAGCTGCATGTCGTGTGCATTCCGACGCATCATCCCCCTATAACTTCGAATATCATTCGTCCTTCATGAATATTACCATAAGCAGCGGGTTGTCAGTCTGAAAAAAATCAAATTCGCAGGTTTTCGACGCTTTCATCGTCGTGACTTCCCTAATTTTCGATCTCACATTCCACCGGACGGAGTCGGCAGCCTCAATCGGCTCAGGATTAATTATTACGCTCAGGTTATGGCGAGTGGGCCGTCTGTTGAATGGTAAGCTGGCCCATATCTCACAAAATCATCACAGGACTTGACGCACTAATCTCATCGTACCACCCCCCGCCCTCCCCCCGACGACTGCGCGCCGAGAACTGTCGACCGGAGTTCTATCGTGAATCCACATGCGTGAAAACCTAGGCGGTCGAGACGACGGACGCTCCCTCGGAGCTGGCGAACCCGACGGGGAAGTAGCAGCCTCCTTCCACGAGAACTGGCGCTCCGCTTGCAAGAAACTGAACTGTATCGAAGGCTCTTTATTATCACATTCGCTTGATGATAAGACGGCTGCGGTGAATTAAGTTTCTATTTCCGTGCGACAGCAAAGTTTGCAACAAACCAGTCCACAGTTTCCTTCACGGCCTGTTCCATCGGAGTGAACTCGAACGATGGCAGGTACTTCCGTAACTTGGCGTTGTTGGCAGTTTTCTTGAACTGTCCGTCGGACTTCGTCGGATCCGTTTCGATACCGTTGCGCAAGTTCATAGCTTTGCAAATCATCTCAGCGACATGAGCGATACTGACCTCCTGTGATTCATCAACAGATAGAATGATCGGCTCTACCTCCGGATAATCCCGGACGGCCCATAGCAGTAATTTGCCCAAATCCAGACTGTAGATGAACTGGCGGAGGGGTTTTCCGGTGCCCCAGACTGTGAGCGGCGTTCCGGCTTCCTTCGCCAAATAAGATTTATGAATCAGGCCAGGCAAAACGTGTCCGTCTTCGATATTGAAATTGTCGTGAGGACCGAAAACATTCGTCGGGATGACCGACGTGAAGAAACGGCCATGCTGTTCGTTGTAGGCTCGATTCTGAATGTCGATTAGACGTTTCGCGTAAGAGTAACCGTAATTGCTTTGATGAGGGGGACCATTGTGCACCATGCTCTCATCTATGGGGTACTCGGTCTTGTCGGGGAAGATGCAGGTGGATAGACAAGATACAACTTTCGTCACATTGTGCTGGAATGCTGAGTTGAGAACGTTGTCGTTCATCGCCAAGTTGAAGCGTAGAAAATCGAGATTGCGTTGCATGTTCCGAAAGAGCCCTCCCACGAACGCAGCCAAGTGAAGAACGTGTGTCGGCTTATGCTTCTCGAAAATAGCTTCTACAGCTTTTGCGTCGCGCAAATCTGCGTCTTTCGACGAGAGGAAAATCCATACTTCGTCGGGTCGAGTGTTTGCCGGGTCTTCGAGTACTCTCCGGACACCCTGTCCTACGAGTCCGGAACCACCCGTCACGAGGATCCGTTTCACGATTCCCGTACCGGAGTTCGGCATGATCGGAGGTCGAGCAGTAACACAGGACAAAGATCAGGAGCAGAGTTTCTCGCGCAGAAAGAAGGCACAGAGAGGAATGTTATTGATGATACCGGCACAACTGCTGCAACTCCTCCGCTAGCGACATCGAACGTGGCTCCGTTCGGTTGACAGTCAAGCCTCTAGTTTGGCGAACTGTTGGGCCGAGGATTCGGAGGCGGACCTTCGAGCCCGGAGCGGAATCGACTATCCCGATCGACGAGGAAGGAGACCCTCCTTACCGTCGAATGTGTGTCTCTCAGCCGGATTCCGCAGGCACGACGTCAGCTCATGTTTGTGATTTTTGCTGACACGAACTTTTGGTCGGGCAGCCTTTACGCGTGTCCAGGTGCACGACCTACTCGCCTTCCGGAGCTTCTGACGAGACATATATTTGGACGTGCTCCGGCGTTGTCTCCGGAGTCTTCGCTGGGAACGAATCGATCCAGTCCTCCGAACATCGCCTGTTATGCGAAAGAATATGCGATTCCGTAGTGAGCTAGCTCCGAAGACAAGGAATGCCGGAAAATCTATCGGCGGAACTCTGAGCAATCCGATTGGACCGGGGTGCGAATTTCGTCGAGAGCGGATTGAAATGACGAATTATCGAGCTTTTCCCGTGAATTGCAGGAATAGTATTGACGGTCAAGATGCAGGCCGAGCGTCAACTGGAAAAAGAAATTCAACTTCGCGAAGACCTCAAACAGAAAATGATGACCCAGAGGGATTATTGCAACGCCTTGGAGCAAGACAATAAGTATTTGCGTCAATTACTCGCGGAAAACAGGATAAGAGCTCCACTCCCGGTGGATCCTCCTCACCTGGAGATACCCTTGAACTTCTGAAAAATCGAGGGAAACGAGCTATTTGAGTTCATTCGTTCCCGATGAATCCAGACGCATTCGTAGTGGGAGTTTCATGTTCCTACGGTACCTTCGGGAAAACTTACTCCGTACTTGCGGCTAAGCTATATCGGAGTTCTCTCATGAAGGAGACGAGTGCCATGGGAATCCTCTTTTTTCTCATTCGAATCCTCGATCGGAATTGTTGTATATTCACATTTTATGGCTCTGCATTCGTCGCTTCGCATTTCGAGTTTGTTTCAGAAGGATGTCCAGTTTTAATTGACCTATATTTCCTGTTATCAAAAATCGAATAAAAAGGTCGAGTTTTAATCACCGCGCGTCGTCACTCGTGGTCCATGACGAATTACGATCGTGAATCGCCATTCCGTCTTACTGAGGATGCTTACTGGAAGAATCGATAATTCCTTCGTGAATGACGAGGTTATGCGTCAAGACGATGAAGAGAGAGAGACGAATATGAATGGTAGAAGAGGTCGCTCCTCGAGCACAATAATGACAAAATTTCGTTCCATTGATCAGGGCAGGTCTTCCTTTTTTTATTTATCCCAGACACTCACGTGGGGGATCTTGATGTGAATGGATACAATGAACTTAATACGCCGCGTACGGGGAGGGAAGGAATGGGGGGTCCGCAGAGGCCAGATCCCGTATTTGGACCCGACAAAATCCCAAAACATCCGCCGAAATCTCGATGTAGCGATTCCACAAACCCGCATAATTTCGTGGAACTCATTTGATCTGCGGTACGATTACACGACCCCAGTCCGTGGACAAGATGACCGATTCTCGAGAGCAACCGCAGCTCCGGAATTTTCAAGTGCGCGAATAGGGCTCCATCGACTTCGAGAAGTTCACCAAAACATCGAAAATATCGTACGCTCCGTTTCCGGGATTAAAGTAAGTTCGATATGGAAAGACAATGATGGAGAAAGCAAGGAATCGTAGTGGTGAAAGAGCGTCCGGGCATCCCCGGAATCAGATGAGTTTTTGACAGGGCTCCCGAGCCAGGGGTGCGGAATGGTAAGGAAATGCAGGAAGTGCCACAAACGAAACATGCCTACGATGATTCTCGCGCACGCACCGAGGCACGCAATCGGGCGGCCGCTCATGGGAGTTTCTCCGAACTGCTAGATTTAGTATCGGCCGCCGTATCGGTTTCCGGGTGGGGGACCGCCGAATCGCTCGGCGCCGTAAGGAGGAGGTCTCCGGTTGTCGCCTCTGAGCCCGCCATTGGCGTAGGCAGGCTCCGGTCTATAGTAATCTCTCGGAGGGCTTCGTCGCGCGTAGTAGTCCATGCGTCTGTCGTCGAACTCGGGCCGATCGAAACCTCCTCCTGCTCCTCCTCTGGCATAATCGTCGTACCCGCCGCCGCCACCAACGCCGCGGTTGCCGTCGAATCTATCGTAGGGTCTACGTCGGTCGTAAGGAGCTTCGTCATATTGAACTTCATAGTTTGAGGGCGGACCACGTCTTTCGAACGCCGGGGGAGGTCGTCTGTCGTAGGGGGTTGGTCTGCCACCGCCCTGGCCTCTGAATCCCCCGCCACCGCCGTACCCAACGCCCCCGTATGGGCCGCCGCCGCCACCGCCCATTCGGCATTCTTTACTCCAGTGACCTTGCTTACCACACCGGAAGCACGTCATTTTCCCACCCATTCCTGGCTTCTGTCTCACGCGGGATCGAGATTGCTCGACGTTGATAGCAACGCCTCGAAACTCGTGTCCGTTGAGTGCAGCGATTGCCGCCTGAGCATCGGCATCGTTAGCCATATGGACGAAACCGTAGTCCTTGATGACGTCGCACTCCTGAACTTCACCGTGGGCTTCGAAGAGCGCGCGAACATCGTCCGTAGAAGTGCCTTCGGGGAGGCTACCAACGAAAATTTTCGTGGGCGCCATTTTCACACGCCGATGTCTTTGCTTCGATCAGAAAGAGAGCGAGAGAGACAATGGGTCGTGATTTTTCCTCTAATCCCGAACGTCGAATGAAATTTCCCGTTTCTCCTGTATAATTGTTCGTTCCGAGTCTTCGCTGCTTGGCTCCACGCTTGTTACGCGACCGCGCGCTCTGTTGGTTCCGCAAATCTGTAATACGCGCCGCAATCAAAAACGGATTATTCATTTGAGCTCATTCCAACAACGGATGGGTGGACCCTCCAAACGATTCGGACCATTTGCTCGCTTAAATCTTAGCGTGACCTTTGGAATATTCGGAACGGTGGCGATGCCTTGCCGCTTAATCGAAACGCTGCGCAACTCAATGGAAAGACTATCGCGACAGATTCGTCGCACACCGCTGGAGGCGGGCTCAGTTCAAGTGGGTATGTCGTTGCTCTACGCGGAACGATTCCCCAGGGAGAGCGCGCTGCGAGACCCGGTACTCCCAATAGCTCTCCTGGAGCCCAACGATTGGATCAAGGTTGTGCCGCAATACCGTGAACCGCTGGACTAGACCCATGAGCACGCACCCTCAATGCCCCGCGGTACGGGACACTTCAGAGCTCGAAGTCGCGCCGATTCCGATCGCCGTCCATGTGCGATCAATATCTCAGAAACCCCAGCGAAACGTCCCGCGGATTCGAGGCATAAAAAATTCTCGAGAGAATCTCTCGGACCGCGATGACTGGCGGGTCATCTTCGGTAGCGCGTTCGTTAGGAGGGTAGCCGATCATTAAAAACGGACGAGGCATCGAGTTTTCCCGAATGATGAGCAGGAAATATATGTGATCGGTGATCACTGTAGTCTCGTTCTCGATGCGATCGAACCGCTGAGAGCCGAACGACGCTTTGAACTCATGGTACGCGAAATGCAAAACACGCTGGCGCGTCAACTCGCCAGAAGATATGTAAAGGAAGGTAATCCAGAACACGCGGCCTCCCGCGACACGTCTAATTCCACTCGATAGCACGGCAGAACGTTTCCGGCTCTAAGAAGTCACTGAGTCAGGGGTGTGGAGGAGACAATGCTCATGAAGAAAACTAAGACGCGAAAATCCAATCGGCGGACCGCCGCTTAAAACTAACCTCTTGCTGCTCGTGATTCTGTCGATGTCGCCGCACGCGCTTTCTCAACCGGTGGCAATTATTCGACCGTTGTTCGACCACGCTCAAGCTCCCGCAATTATCTTCTCTGTGGCTGCAGATGCACGTACAATGAAGCACGTCGTCGTCTTCGCCGCTGCCGCTTTGGGAAGTGAAATTCAGCAAATCGTCGCAACGCGTTTTTTCCTACTACAGGGACTCAGACACGCTTCCCCGCTTATGAGAGCCTCGAAGCCTGCTCCTCGTCCACTTGTTTCGTCGGTTCTCAACAACGACTCGGATCATGCGGTTCCCCACCGGCGGAGTCCGTCGACAACGAAGCCTGCGCTCCACGCGGAGGAACACAATCTCACCCAGTAGAGATCACGCGGAGAATTCTCAACACCGATGGGCGCGATATCCGGAATTCGGATTGCCAGAGGGATGATTTGACTCTGTGAGATGTTCAACGGGCTCGTTTCCCCAAACGCGGTGGGTTTATGCGAGCTCCGTCCTCAAAACAAACGAAGCCATCTTTAGAATGCGAGGGAGAGGAGGAAAGAGCGGGCGCGCGAAATTCAAAATTTCAGAGGCGTCAACCCGACCGCGTTCGTAATGGGGGATGTTTGAACAATAGCGGCTCAATTCTCCGTGAGGTGCTCTAGCAATTCGGAGTAATTCAAAGCGGAGCCATATCGTTATCGTGGCTCGCGCGACAGAGCGGCGGGAATCGAGCGGGAACCGTAGGCCAAACATATCAGCATTAATTCCGCATTGGAATCTTGTATCAACACGGTGTCGCTGGATCACATCGTGATCCGGGCCGACGATGGGGCAGACGGAAAATAAATCTCCTCCGCCCTCGTCGCCTGCAAAGAACTCTATCTGCGCTCGGACGACCGACTTTATTCATTGTTCAATCATCGTATTCCAGGAATTTGTACAAAATATGACTTTCTCGTGGGTATATGTACTCATTCGACCGATTGCGCTACTTCAATAGGTCGATGACTCTCGGAAGGTGTCCTAGGCGCTGCCGAACGTGGATCGGGATAGAACTGCCCTCCGGATAGGATGTTTTAACACCGTTTCGATTAACGAAACAAAACTCGCTCGCTCTTCCCGCCATCGGAGCTTCGATGGCAACTTTGGTTCGATCGTAGAACTCTATGATGATCTCGCCCGAAGGCAACCTCCTAGCCACTCCGAGACCGTCGACGTGAACCTCTCGAGCTTTGACGAGTTTCGAAGACTGCACCGACTCCGGGCTGCGGTCGACGAGTGATGTGAAGTTCGTGTTGAGGGTGAGGTTGGATCTCGTCGAAGTGTCTCCATTCGTAGTTGTGCGTCGACCGAATATAGCCGGGAACATCTCTGGACTCGGATCGACTGCGCAGATGGACTCTTCCAGAGCCGATAGTTTGAGCGCAACCGTTTGTAGGAACTGCCAATCCTTAGCATCTATCGACGATGGGGAAACAACTTGATTGTTCAGCTTGATAGTACCGTCTTTCTGTCGCACAATTTTCTTCGGCGTCCCGGCGATACCGGCATCTTTGATCTCAACATCGCCATTCTCCATGAGGAAGCAAGCAGAATCACCCTGCGGAGGAGTTTTCTCTTTATTTGAATCCTCTCGTCACCATGTCGAACCATTCTCCTGTTTCTCCTGATTCCCTCGGATCGTGTCCCGGCGGATACATATGAGGGTTCATCTTGACTTACCTGATATAGAATTATTTTCACTGTTTTCTGTCGGACGAGGTGCACGAAACGCGACGCAATCGCGTATTTCTTCCATAACATCTTGGGCAAGCTTTCGAAGGAGAATCTGTCGTCGGTACCATCCAACGGCAGTCCTGCAGCCTGCGTCGGATGCCAGGCGATCCTCGGCTGGTAAACAACGATCCACTGTCCGTCGGACGACACTCTCAGCACGCTGTTGATCATTTCCCCCTTGAGGAACTCGACGACCACCTCACCAGTATCCAAGATGGAAAGCATCATTTTGCCGGACTTGATTCGCGTGGCTTTGAGACGAGTAGTGTTCAGGGGCTCACTGGGTTTGGGACCGTAGGCAGAGTTCGACGCTTTGGAGGGCACCGGTAGGCGAGCCCTATTTAGAAGGGACACGCTCCTGCACATGAAGGGATGCGACAACACCTCCGAAAGTCGGATCCTCTGTCTAGGATCTTTCTGCAATAACTTTCCAATCAAATCTCGAGCCTCCGCCGATAAATTGCTGGGGATTTGGATACTGCTCATGACGACTTTCGTTAGCGTGGACCGAATTTTGGGATCGTGGAATGGCGGCGATCCAGTGAGGAAAGTGTACAGCATGCATCCCAACGACCACAGATCAACTTCTAGCCCGTGTCCGGAGCGGGCCGCGATCTCGGGAGGTATGTAGTTTGGAGTTCCACACATTGTCGTGTGTTTTTCGGAGGGGTACCTTAGTTGGGTAGCTAGACCGAAATCACTGATCTTCACTTGTAGATCCTGAGTCAGGAGGAGATTACTCAGTGAAAGGTCTCGGTGCAAGATGTTGTGGCTCTGTAGATATTGCATTCCGTGTGCGACCTGCACTAGGAAATGCCGAGCCTCCGTCTCGCTCAATGTTTCACGCGTCTCTAAGTACTTCTGCACTTCGCCCCCGTGACAGAACTCCACGATGAGGTAGACGTTCGCGTCATCTTCAAAGAATGTCAACAGCTCGACGATTGACGGGTGCCGGAGTCGACAATGTATGGAGACCTTGAAGCAGAGAAATTGTGTCGTTAGGGATAAGTTCCGAATATGAGAGCGGGAACGAACCGTCACAGGTGTACGGACAGAGCAATCGATTCCGATGGAGGAATCGGGAATCCACACCCACTCAATCAACTCAAATTACCTCTTGCTGCACTCTCGAAGTGAGTCCCGCCGCCCGCATCTGCTCCTTGTCGATCATCTGGTATGGGAAGAAAGAACGAACGTCAGGGCGACACAGTATCAGAAGGCTCGGAATTCATTCGGCTCACGGGTCTTCACTAGAAATGCTTTCATTTGACGTGAGAGGAAAGAGAATGTGACTTGGAGGTCATACCTTGATTGCAACATCGACACCAGTCTTCCGACAGGTGCCATGGTAGACATGGGCAAAGCCACCTCTGCCGAGGAGCTTTGTGATTTCGTAGTCTTCGATTCGCTGACCGAGTTCTTTCGTTAAGTCGATCATCGCGGTCAGTCCAAGTCATGCTCAGAGCATTCTTGAGTTTCGAGAATGCTTACGAACTCGGCACACTTCCACTTCATCAAAGACCGAAGATTCTGACCCTTTCCGTCTAGGATCTTTTGTTTTTTTCTGAAGGGCTGTCTCTCCACTCGAAGTGTACGAAAACCGCCAACGGCTTTTCGCTTTAAATATGGCGCGGCTCTGCAGACGCGCGTCGACGATGGGGTGCCCCTCACTCGTAGCGCACTTTACCAAAACTAACTGGAAAACGCATTAGTCGCGGACCGATAGGCCCGTCGATCCAGACTCGACCCCTTGATGAACCGTTGAGCCGCGCTCCGATATGGGTTTTTCGTCTGTGACAATCATACTGCTTCGAGATTCGAGATCCGACCCGCCCGACCCGGCGGCGGGATACGAGCAGACAGCATGACCATCATGATGATGGTGATCATCATCATCACTGCCAGCTGATCCGATATGTTCGTGTGCAATGAAAACAACACTTAAGAGCCGCGATATTCTCCCAAGTTTCTGATTCTCTTCTGACAGTTGCATAATCTGTGCTCTCATTCCGCAAAATATTTCAATCATGGTCCCCAACCTCCCCTTCACCAATGATCGGCATCTCGGGGAGAACTGAGTCGGGCGTTCGCTCACATTGTGTATCTCACGGCGGACCAAGTTCTGGGAGAGACGCATCCGATCATACTGTCGTACTCCTGTCAGAGGCGTTCTGGAGAACATGACAGAAGAAACACCGGATTCCGATGGGAAGTTGGAAGAATTCGCTACAGCGGTGAACGACTTTTACCATAAACGGAAAGTCTTCTACAAAGAACACCCCGAATGTAGAGAGTGTGATTTCGAGGAGATGCTCAGTGAGAAGGGCAAAGAGCTGCTGCAAGTATATGAACCGCTCCTGTCGACTTTTAGAGGTAAGAAAACATCTGTCACCGACGATGATTCTTTTAGTTGACTTCAATCCACATATAATATAAAACACGGTCATCTCGTGCCGAATGAATCAGAGCTGTAAATTCATTCATGATGTTAATGGGTCCAACACAAGATTCGACGACGACGGCGAGCTAATACAAAGAATACCCTCCCTCAGGCACGGAGAAGTCTCGATGCCTCATGCTTATAGGTCGAGTCCACAATGCCTCGAATACGTACTCGAAGCAAGCGGAAGAATACTTGTACAAAGCCGTTAAGATGAATCCCAAATTATCTGAGGCGTGGAACGCTCTAGGCGAATGCTATTACAAGAACAATCAAGTTGACAAGGCTGTGAACTGTTTCCAATGCGTGTTGAAGCACGTGAAGGACAAGGTGGCACTCAGGAACCTCTCGAAAGTCATGCGGAGTCAGGACAGAATAAATCCCACCAGCTTGCAAGAGAGCATCAAACGCTCACAGGAAGCTCTGGAGATCGATCTCAACGACGGCGCGTCTTGGTTCAATCTCGGCAATGCTTACCTCACGGCATTCTTCTACGGGGGGCAGCCTGAGCGAGTCCTTCGGCAATCCCTTTTCTGCTATCGGAAAGCCTTGGCGGACGAGAGTCAGAACGACGACCCCGACCTCCACTTCAGTCTCGCCGAGGCCTCGAAGTACACGGAAGATTTCCAGACGGCCTTGGCCAGCTACGATAACGCGCACAAATGCAACCCCACCTGGACGGTACCCTTGGAGAAGATAGAAAATCTCGAGATGTATCTTAATGATGTGAATGAAGCTGTCACCCTCAAGGGTAAACTTCGACCGAAGAAATTGGAGCAGATGCTAAAGACTATCAAACCTCATCATTGTACCGTTTCGGTACGACCAGGAAGGACCTTAGAGATATCGAATGGGAAAAAACGTCGGAGGACCATGATTGGCACATCATTCTGAAAGTGAGTTCGAGACAGTCGAGTTGCTCCCTGTCATTTCCTTATGGTGTGGATTTTGGTCCGGAAGATACCACGCTATCGGAATCGACATAATGTGTCTCCTTTCCACAGGTCGTCACGACGCTGAGTAGTCGTGCATTGGCGTTCACGTGTTGCGCCGTGGACGAAAACCAGGATTGCGTGGCCGTGAGCATCTTCAATTTGGATGAGGGGAAAGCTTTCATCGTGGGCGATACAATCGCGATAGCTGGTCCTGAACCGAAAGTCCATTGTGTGACTTTACGGAATGACGTGAAAATTTCGTACAAATCCCTCCGAGTGTCCGACCCGCGAACGATAGCGGTCAATGGACGGCTGATCACTAACAAATGGCTCGCCCCTGTGATGCTGACTACGGAACTCTACAATTCATGATTCAGATCGTTCCTCGAGCCATTCGAGGCAAGGATTCCGAAGAAGGTCAGACACTGCGGGAAGGAGACTCCCGCGCAATAGGGCTTCCCTTCCGATTTTCTGGCTTTTCCCACTGTCGCTCGTCTGGAGAAAACGCCCAGGACCATCATTCAACGTGCCTTATCTCATAGGACCACGAGGTTTTGCATGCAGCAATCGGTTGAGCGTAAGAGCCTCGACGAACATCCGAATGGTCTTCGCCAACCGCGTGGAGATCGCGACCGAATGGAGCCGCTCCCGGATATGATAATAATAAACATGAGGCATTCCGAGATGGGAGTATTTATTGTCAGCCTCTTTCGTTTGTATTTCGACAAGCTGAGTCCGACAGAATTTATCGTCGGACAATCTTTGTATAGTATTAGCTTCGGACATGGATTTACAGGTTCGGGGATTCGAGCAATTTCTCCCATTCGATCGAGACGTCGTACACTTGGCATTTGAGCCAATAGCGATAATTTTCCTTGAAATCAGGAAGTAGCTCGAATTGCCGTCCCAGCACGGAGAGGAAGCAGTTGTCCACGGGGGTAATGTCCAGCAGAGGGTCTTTATCGGAGAAATCAAGAGCGTTAGCCAGGCCTTGGTTCTGGTTGCCGGGCAGCCGATCGTAACGGCGTCTGTGATAATCGTTGATGGCAGCCTGGAGCGAAAACTCTTCTCCCTGGAAGAAAGAGTTTCTTGTGTCATGAAGCGGATCGATTGGAAAAAAATCAATGGAACGAGCCATGGCATCTCAACAGCTCCCTCACCTGGAAATCCCACGGCCGCGCGTCGAGATCGCCTCCGTAAGCCCAGTCGTCACCTAGGCGATGGCGAACCTTCTGGTAGATAGCCGACATGGTCTTCATGTTGGTCTTTCGCCATTGACGGCCCAGGTACTTGGTCTGCATTTTCAGCAGCTTGAGGGCGTACAGTTGAAGCATTGCCTGACGCACCTTGAGGGCACGCTTGAGTATTGGGGCGCTCTTAAAGACGACAAGCATCATGACCCGCGAGTGTTTGTTTTTGGTAAGTTTGTTCAGAATTCTCAGAAGGTTGATACAGGCGAAGACGTTACGCCAGCAGTATAATTGCCCCGCCACTTCCGTGGAGCCTTCAAGCATCTCCGAAGTCAATTCTCCGGGGCTTTCTAAGATCACTCTAGGGAACTCGAACGCCAGGAGGGTATGTCTGGCGGCGGCGTAGGAAACAACGTTCTGGTTGAAGAATTTCAGTACAAGCGGGATGCAATTGGCAAACATCAGTTGTTGCGCGAGGTATTCAAACTGCAGGCAGTGCGAAATTTTGACGTGCTTCACGAGCAGAAGCAGAATCGCCGAAATCGCTTTGACCAGTATTTCTTTGTGTCGATTGATGTCCGCGGCCAACACGGTACTCTGAACGGTGGTCATGCAGTTCTCCACCGTGAGGTCGTGCGTTGGCAGCAAGTCCGCGAGAATGTTCACCGACTCCGTCTTCGCCTTCGACGTGGGAGCCGCAGCCAGAAGGATTTTCAACAGCGAGATCATATGCTGCGGCATGTGCGGCAGTAGAGCCTGGTAGAGTCTGGAAAAGATGAGGTGCCCTCATTGATCTATCGCAGGGACCTCTCTCCGGTTATGAGCTCAGTCCGAGTGACTCGGGGGACGGTCTTAATCTATTTACCTTTCGATAGGTGTGTCAGCCAAATCAATCGGATGGGTATACGGATGTCTTTCGATTTTCATTTCGAGCATGATCTGAACTTCGCTGAGAGGTGTGTATTTGTGCTTCTCGAGAATTCTGAGGCCCTCGTGTACGGGCTCGGGCAAGCCAGCAAGCGTGGTCCTATTTTGGCAAAGACTTAATTTTGTTCAACTTATTGCGACCCCATATGTATCTATCGACGCGAAAGGACCGATACAAGACTCAAGGGATAGAAGAAAGGAATCCGATGACATGATCAAAGGACTCACGTGTCGTTCGGAAGCTGGAATCCCACGAACTTCATACGAGCTTGAGCTAGGAAATTATCTATATCTCTCAGGGCAGCCTTCGGCTGCCATGGCAAACAGCGTCTCTCTTTGCTCTCAGGTGACGACTTAGATTTCGGTTCTTTTTCAACCGACTCTGAGTGCGCAATCTGAGTCTCGCCAACGACTAGAGGTTCTCTGGAAGGAACAGACGAACTCTATTAAAGAGGTCTTCGGAATAAACCAATGTCGTGAGAGCTTTCGGAACATTCAGGGGTCTGAAGACAACTTCGAGCTCTCTCAGGCTGAACATACGCGATTGGCTCGTCGGGAAGAACATCCGGCATTTCGGTCGGATCGATTTGATTTTCGACGTTGTTCGCAGCTTCTTGGTCATCCATTGAGCTCTGTTTGACGAGACTCTGCCGTTTGAACTGCATCCGGAAAGACTTGCGTTGTTGTTGAACTTCGATCATGTCGACGAGAGCTGCCGGGGGCGAAGCGGGACGCATCGTCCGCACGACATCGGTCGTGTCGGGTGGGCCGGGAGGCAGACCTTCCTGTGGAAACGTAGAACATCGTATTTCCGATGATCATTCAAGAATGGAGGACATGGAGGATATAGGTCCGTCCCGAGTACCCGCTACTGGATTCGATTTTTCGTCCTTCTTCTCCCCCTATTCCGTTTTAGGCCGGTGGCAAATGAACCTTTTCCCTAGCAGCCGCTCGGAGATTCTTCAAGTCTTCGATTCCTCCGAGCGAGAGGATGAGAGTTTTCCATAGGAGCAACAGAAGCTTCTTCACAGGGAAGTGTTGTGAAGTCCCGTTACAGAAAGCCGTTATCATTTTCAGAAGAATCACGGCCATGATCTCGTTGTTATCGAAGCTGCCGGACAATTCGTCACAGAAAGCTTTCTTCAGGGCGATTTCGTCCGCTGGACTCTCGGGTCCGATGTGGCGAAACACCTGGAAGAGCATAGACGGGATCCCGTAAGAAACTCGCGTGGTCTTAGAGCTCGAGTCCCACCGTCACCTGACACTGGTTTCTGATATAGCATGATGGAAGGGAAGTGTAGCGCAATACTCGCCTCGGTTATGGTGCACATGGTGGTCAGAATGTCTCGGAGTCTTCTTGAATCCCCCATGGCTACGTTGGGGGGCGATTTGGGGGGCGGTTTTTCTGCTTCCAGGCGCAGAAGCTGCACGAGGATCGGCCACGCCCCCAGGCGATACAGGAGCAAGCAGTTCTCCTGGATATTCGAAATCACCCGAGGTATCCGGTCGCACATGTCTGTGTCCTTGATCTCGTGCTCCGCCCAGGCGCCCTGTGAAAGGAGAAGGCCTCCGTCGGATCCGTTCGTTCGCAATATCCTGGCCCGAACGACTGGGATCATCCACTACGAGGCGGCACGAGCCTCGCCCCACGGATTGATCTGATTCGATGTTTCGAGGAATTCCCGAATTTATGGTGGAGGAGACGGCACACGATCACAAACCTGTGCCACGTAGAGAATCGCCCGAACGGCATCCTTGCGAACTTTCGGGTTTGCGCTTTCTGCGGCTTCGAGAAGTCGTCGGACAACAGAAACTTTCTTGTCCTGTTTCCAGCCGGTCGAAAATTCTTGAAACTTCTGAGCACATGACTGGAATTCATTCTTCTCGGAGTACGAATAAATTTCAGCGATCTCGAGCTGGAAAAAGATCACTGTCAATGAGTACGATATTTAAAAATTGACGGGCTGATTATCGGGGTGGGAAAAGGGGATTCTGGCGTGACATTCACGCGCTCCCGACCGGAAGAATCCTCAGGGACATGTCGCAAAATCGTTTGAGAGAGCTCGTCAGCTGTTTTCGGCGAGTCTCTCGGAGGGATGCTGGCCTCAGCTGCCGTGTCGACTTGGTCTGGCTCCGACCGAAATCTTCATGCGGACCTTTCCTAAGCGACGATATCACGCAGCGAGATGGTTTCGATGGAATTCATTAGAGCGCACCATCTATCTAAATTCATGAGAGTGCTCTAACCTCAAGAGTGTCCGCATCGGCGTACTGGAAGTCCAGGTCACCCAACTCGGGGCCTGCTCCATTACCCTGGTCCATCTGGTCGTCGGCGCTCACCGATTCCGGACCCAGATCATTCAATTCAACGGATCCTCGTTGGATATCACATACTCTTTAGCGAAATGCGTTCCCTTTGCAGCCGACTGGCCGTTGGATCTAGACTGCTGATCCGTACGGCCTGGTGGGAGCCACGATCCGCATCTGTCCGCTACTCGTTTGAAATGGAAGCGGCCCGACAGCTGTCAAAGTTGGGCAAGAGCCTTTCTAAACAAAATGAGCATTCCTACATGAGCGAAGAAACTTCAAGTTTCACGCACTCGAGGGATGGACCAATCGTAATATCTGAAAATTGGCACTCCAGCTCGATTTCGAAAAGATCATGATACGGTCATCATGATATTTTCCTCATTTGCTCAACAGGCCGGAAAACTCGCCTGGAGAGCCTTGTTCACGACGCCTTTTCCGCAAGACTTCCCGGAAATTCGCTTCCAAGAGGGTCTCCGGCTTCAGTACATCGTCGCCTTCGTCCAATTCCGTATCGTGGACACAGGTCCTCGACACACAAGTATTCGGGGCTTTTCAGAGCATCCAGATCTGAAAGACGTGACACTTGACCCACGACATGCTCGGCTCCAGAGGTTGAAACGTCTAGCGCACTGGGAACGGAGCGTATTTGTTTGGCGCGGTTCCCGCACAGTCACTCTCGTCGCGTGGAAGCCACACGACCAGGGAATGTCCATTCCCGATGACAGTATCCGGCAGGAGTTCGGCCAGGGTCCGACTCGCCGGCCGGTAGACAAACTTGTGCCACAGAATTGGGAGCATTTGTCTTCAATACTTGCGGCCCTTTGTCTCTCGCGCGGGCGATACGTTTCGCGTGATCGCAGGAGGGATGAAAACTTGGGGGAAAAAATATCAATGCATGAAAGAATAACGCTAGGTCTGTGAAATTTTATCCGCGTGAACGGCACACGTTTATTCGGTCAGAACAGCTCGGACGCAGATTAATTGAGTTTCACTTCGTGCGATTCCGCGATTTCCTCGGAAGCGCAGCCGGAATCTTAAGGCTAAACCGAGCCGACCTTAAACGTACAACCGCAGGAAGCATTTTCTCTCGCGGAAGAGCGAACTCAACATAGCCCGACCGGTGCGGCGGGAGGATCGATTGCGAATTCATTCTAAATCCGTGATACCTATCTCGATACATCCATAGCTGGCTGCGACGCTCTTCGAAAATACATCATGATTCATCGAATATATTTACAGAGAATATGACTTTTATCCACCCTGTACGTTTTCCCCTTCCGTCTCAGACGTTTTATCCCTCTACAGTTCCGCTTTGGAGTTCATAGAAATAAATTACGACTGGAGCTGCTAAGACAGCTCATCAGAAACTTCATCAACCGGGCTGAGCGCCGGAACGCTGCAACATCTTCGGTTAGCAGTCAGATCCGTTCGTCTCGGGACTTGAACATGAATCACAAGCTTTGGTTTGGGGCTCGCGCATCACGCGAGATCGAAATTCTCGAGCACTATTCATCCGTGTCAGCATTCGGATCTGATACCTAAATTAGGATGTTCCGTCCATGGAAAGTGCTGTAGCCAGGCGACGGTAATTCGTCGTCGTTGTCGTTCATGAGGAACGACGTGTCGTCGTACCGGCTAGCACAAGTGCAGATGAGACGTCCACGTTTTCTGCGCTTGAGGTAGCGCTTCAGCAGCTTGACCGGAGCCACTGGGAATTCTCGGTCCGTTTCGAGAGTATCCTTGTATTGGACAACGATACCGGTCAGCGAAAGGACGAGCCATATACAGATGAGAATGACGTCGATTACGGCGAACGGTACTTGATTGTGAGTATGGATGGATGTTGTTGCCTCGAAGCGGGCCCTGGCAACGTCGACAATCTTCGAGAAGGTCGAATGGAGGAAAACTCTGTCCACAGCGTACAGACTGCTGAAGGATCCGACGACGGCGGAGGCTACGATGCTCAGAAGCTGCGTGGTGGGTAGAAGCAGCGCGGTTATGCTCAACATCGTGCAAATCGTGACCGTTCGATAAGCGAACACAGACCTGAATATGAACAGATTTCCAACGGGCGTGAAGAAGAATATCGCCGTGATCAGAAGACCCAGCAGAAAACCAGAGGGGATCACGGCGATCACTGGGATCCCGAAAAAGAACCAAATGCCCAGGAATAGTGTTGCGACGGATGCGGCCAGGGCCACGCTCGCAACGGGGTCCATCAGGGGTTCGAACACCAGGAGGCTGAGCACGAACGCTGCCAAGGCGATCTGGGTCTTGAGGAAACGGTGTCCTGCAAGAGCCATGCACAATGCCATGGCGGTAAAAACGGCCAACGCTATCACCGAACCCGTCGATGTCCGGCATGCCGCCAAGAAAGGATAATCGCCGCAGCCCAGGGTCGCTACGGGCACGTAAGCGGCGGCGGTGGAGTACCCACTGCGATAGATCTGCGTGACGACCACGCCGTAAATCGCGCGATTCTGCGGATACGCGACGAAGATATTCCTCGTTTTCGGTGAATCCAGCGTGGCGTGGACTCTGGTCGCGTGTTTGCGAATCTTGTGGGCATCGCTCATCAGCTGCAGGGCCTTGTGGTAGTCCTCGTTGTGACCCATGTAGTAGAGATAGATTTCGTAACGGAGCGCGGAAAAACTCTCCTGGCAAGTGGCCTTGTCCGTGGCCAAGCTGCCTGCGCGGGCGTGCTGGAAGTCGATGCTGATCTCCGTTGGTGAGTAGAGATTCAGTCTGAGGTACGGGGCTACCCTCACAGGAAACTCCATGTTACAGCCGCCCGGAGTGGGGTCAACTTTGCTGTAACCGACCGCTATCAAGAGAACAGTCAAATTTCTGGAGGTCTGCTCGTTGATGAGGAACACTCTCGCGTCCGAGCACGGCCGGAGCAAACCGGCGTTCCGCGAGCTGTGACTGTTGTTGCCGCGGGGGTACTCGTCGTACGATAGCGTGACGTTGGCTCCGTACTTGGTGTGGGCTTGGAAGAGCACGAATGAAACTTCATCCGGGCATTCGGCTTCGACCGTTTGTTTCTCCCTCGGTCGCAAGACGACGGCCGTCGCCGGACTCCGGTTCGAATCGCTGATCTTGAATAGCACTTCGGCGCTTGCACCCGAAACCCACAAAACGAATGAAACTGTCACCAAAATCAATGCGGAACGGCTCCCCACTGCCATGTTTGTACCCGTATCTCTTATCTTCTGGATGGAAGTCTACCAGCGAGCTTTGTCTTCTTTTTGAGCACTCTCCAGTAGCAAAAGCGTCGACAACGACGGCGATGGCAGCGGGAGCAACACCATCGACCAGGGTACTCCTCACCACCTCCGGTTGCTGCGGCGGGGTGCTCGATTCAAGGAACAAACTCGTCCAGTTTGTTTGGGCGGCCATTTTTAAAGGTCACAAGCCGCTCGGCCAGAAAGGAGCGATGTCATCATAGAAGCTTTTCAGCTTCGTTCCTAATTTCCACAGCCGCTCTCGACTCGCTTCTTCCGCGGTGAGGGCAATCGGATCTTCTCGAATTAGCTCCGGAACTAGCAGAGCGATACCTGTTCCCACCAGAAACCCTGCGAGCTTGACCCGAATCCTTGGCTGTCAGAGCGCTCGGGGCCCGCGCTGTAGTTCCATTTGACACGTAATTCCGCCGGAACAGAACGAAGATACCCTCTGCATGCGAGAAACGTAATTTTTTGTTCGGCGGGATTGTTCCAGCAAGCTCAAGAGAGACCGTGATCGCGACAGCCGCGGGCGGTCATGCACGTAATGCTCCTAAGTGAGTAAGAAGTCGGATTCCTGGGGGCGTTGTGAAAGTCAGAGGCTTATTATCGGCGGAGTTCAAGCCTTTCGCGCTGCTACCGCGGAGCCAGACCGACGTGCTAGCCAGAGTTCCCTGAAAATCGTCTAACCTTCTCAATCCAGCTCTTAGCTATGACTGCCACCCGTGCGCTTGCTCCCGAATGAGTCGCGCCCCAGAGAGATCCGGAAATTTTCGTAGTAAAACTCCTGATCGTCTTGAGAGTAGCGCGTCGGATCGATTATTATCGACGCGCAGCCACGAGCCCGAAGCCTGACCTATATTGCATGTTAAGCGTTTTTCTCCTTTTTTGAACTTCATGCCGGTGAAATAAGTTTCAAGAATAAGCTAAGGCCATCAATCTGGACCAGCTGCCACGATTAGCTTGACCACCAATGATGAGGAATCTCGGCTCCGCTCCGCAAAGCACAGCCTGGAAGGGTGCTCAGGGGGTTGGGCGCCCGTCCATTGACGACCCTCCCGAGATGGGTTGAGGGATCCACCTGATGAGCGAACTCGCTGCTCGGGGCGACATTCTTGGCGGAAAAGCCTCGGTTGACGTTCACGGCGGAATTCGGGGATCCTCACGCTCATCTACCTACTCGCCATTTTGATGTATGCATTCGTCCGCCAGATCGATGTCTCGAGTGATGAGCGGCGATGTTGAACTCCGGCTTGTCGCTCTCGGGAGCTTCGACTCGAGGGATTCAACTTTCAGGTACGTACTCGAAATGAGCGATCCTGGGCGAAGATCGTCGAGGCTACTCCAGTAAGCTGCTTATCAGCATGATGAACAGTCTTATCGACTGATAAGACTTGATTATTGAGGCAAGTCTCGATCGGTCCTCGTCAATCGCCGAATATCTAAATCCCGATATCGCCGATTGATGCTTGCTACCGCGAAATCGCGGAGGACACGACCTCGGAGGCTCGCCCTTGTGAGAAGTACAACACGCGACGGATCGGATACCTCAACCAAGTTTCAGGGGGTAGCCCTGGAACTTGGTGGTTGTTTTCCCTCTGTGCTCTCGATCGCGGGAAAACCAGTTCCTTCGGATACATGAAGATCAACGACCGCATGCAAAGGAGAATATGTCAGCAAAAAGTCATTCAGACCCATGGCCGAGGTCGACGCCAGCGGGAACAATCGGTAGGGCACCTTAGATCGAAAAGACGGCGCGAAATCGATTAGCGCATCCCTGTAATAAGCCGTTTAAACGCTGGGTCGATGACGATCGACGCAGATCAGATTGATAGGCTTCTCCAGCGGAAAGACGAGGGCGGGGATGATTTGCAATCTTATCTCACGGGAGAAGAGGTTCAAACCTTCTTCCGATCGAAAATCTAGAGCGATTGAACGTTCCGCGGGAGAAGAGAGCTAACTAGCTCATCGAGGCCGACGGCAGGTGTTCTCGAACGCCGGAAAGATCGCCTCTCGAGGTGAAGCGGTCGCGTTTTCCCGTCTGCGGCCGGATCGAATGTGTGGAGAACCTCAATGGTGGAATGCGGTTCCCCAATCAGAATAGCGCAACCTTGAACTGCTCAATATGTATAACATTAGTCGTCGCTGATCACAGACCCGACTATTCGCTCGGCGATCTGAAATTCAGGCCGCAAAATGTCCGAAAATAGGTCGTCGCTCATTAGCTGTCCTCAAGACGACTGTGGGCTTGGACGAGTTCCAAGGAGTCTAATTCGGATAAGGGAACTTCACGAAGGGCACATCACGACAAGGACTCGACGGGATTCAGCTAAGCAGACTTTGCCAAACGCGAAACTTCTCCCTCACCCGAACGTCGATCGACCGCTTCATTATTCTGAGAGCGATTGCTGGAGGGATTATTCCTCGGGGTGCATGCTCACGATTAGAGTTTGTTTCGCTATTTCGTTGCGCACCTCTTTTCCTATAACGGGTATCAGCTACGGATTTACGAAGCTCCAGCTACCGGTGGATCGTATCACTGTCGAGTCTCTCTCTGTTGTGATGCCATTCATGAGATAATGATGTAAGACGCCGTTCGAGCTCTTGGTGATGTAATCATTCAAGGTCGATCAGACGACTGATGCCTTCTGTCTATCGGAAGTCTGAGAACCTCGTCAGATCCGGACCTTATCGCTAGGGCTGGGCACTGGTCGTGATCTTCGCCGACGATTCTCGGCGATATCTCCTGGCTCGCGCGGATAGCCCCGAGATCCTACACGCGTCGTCATGCGAGGCTCCGCGCTATCGCGCCTGAGCACAATTTCAAGGTGGACATCGTGGAACGTGGAACCAATTCTTCCAGTTCGCCCGGGAGAACTCCCACTACTGCATGGGATCCAGAGCTCGACAGGAGCTCTCGGTGTATCTGGCAAGCTTTCCCTCGCTCCGGATCCCACTCTGACGGCACGTCCCGGAATCGCTGGTTCCGTGGGGCCGTCGGCGTCCAGTTTAATCTCCGAGGCCGCGCTTATTGCACGTCGGATTCTTTCTTGCTGCTCGCACCGTTCCCCTTCCCGACAGATGCTCCTCGTCTCACTTGCTTTAACTCTCGTCCGCGGGACGATCTTTTAAAGGGAGCTTCTCGGAAACGCCCCATGCCTGAATGTCGTTCACCGACTCCTCATGGAGATGCGATTTACTCTTCTGAGAGTCCGAGTCCCCTCGAACCGGGATCGGAGGCGCGACCTTTTCATTCTTCCAGCTTGCTTCTTTTGTTTCTCATTTTGTGACAGGCCGAGCACTCCCTCGACGCTGGAGGACTGCCGTGGGCTGATGCTGCGGATGCCTTCGAGTCACATTTCTTCTCTGAAACGATGACTTCAAAACTACACTTCCCTATCCGGCGCATTGAGCGCCGAGTTTCAGTCCCCGAACTTGTACCTGTGGCTCTCGCAAAGACCGTTGGCACCGAGAAATTCTGAGCGTTCCCGAGAGCAACCAGTCTGCGTCTGATTTCGGGGCGTTTGATTCGGTTGTTGAGCTCCCCCCCTCGGAGCTTTGGGAAATCGGGAGTATCCCTCACGAGAGCTCGCGCTGGGTACCTGTATATGGAGACCGGGTATAAACCAGGACCATCGAATGATCTCCCGAGGAATAATCCCGCTCCCACTTTCAGGTCGCTAAATGATTGAGATCTTGCGAAATTCTCGCACCTCGTTCACAAAATCCACACGCTTGGACTTTCCCAATCATTGACGTCTGTCTAGCGTACTCAACGAGGACGGCCGAAATTCCCGATGCGATCTCTCATCGCCGACAGGGACAGACTCCGACTATACAGAATCTTTTGGGACAAGGGCAAAGCATACGGCAACCGAATTCGAGTTTTTCGACGGAGTTCGGGGACGGTGCCTCTTCAGTTTTCGCATGGCGGTGGATCTAGTGTTCCCTTTACGCCTTTGCTGTGGATACTCGACCCGCGATTTCCGCCTTGTGAGCGTGTCAGTGCGCGCGAGGGCGAGAGTTAGCGGCACTGAGGGAGAATCGGGTGAGGGGAACTTGCAGTGGTCCATACGCTTGCCCTTACCGGCTGGCCGTGTTTCCCTCGCCACACGGACGAACGACAACTTTGAGCTCCACCAGTTGGCAATCTCTTCTGTGTGGAGCGAAACGGAAGACTTACAGCAGACGCTTCCATTAGAACAGATCCCGGGTTTAGGCAATTATTCCCTGGAACTCCTGTCTACCGTGCACTAGACCGCAGCTGGGACCCGCAAAGCCGAAGCCGCTCGACGATCGCTGCCCGACGGGGATTCGATTGAAATCGACGCTTCTCTATCTGCCGCTTTCACAGAGTGCTTCAGTCAGTGAGAGAACGTGAAGTCGCCGGTGCTTGTGCTCTGGATTCTCCTGATCGAGAGTCGACGCTACCGTTGACCCGACAAAGCTTTTCAAGAGGGGCGCGCTCGACAGAGAGGTGAGTACTAACAGTCCCGGAGCAGTGTCTGTGTGTGAGTGTATGTCAACGTGTTCGAAGCATTGTTTCCGTGGAGTGTCCGCAGTGACCGGAGGACCCTTTGCGGAGAATCGCCGATTCCGCAATTTCGCTATCGACTCGACGAAAACTATTGTTACGATCCTAATCTGATAGACGGCTGGCTCAATCGAAGAGTCCACAGCTCTGTTCCCGAAAACTTAACGCTCACAGTCGTCGATGATGACGTCTGCTCATCTGCGACGCGAAGGCTTAAGCGGAACTCGGAGCTCTCTGTCACTTTCGAACGCTGCAGCGATCAGCTGATCGCGAGCCTAAGCGAGTCTCGATGACTGATGTAAGAGTAGATTATTCAAAAGCACTCGCCGCCGACTCTCTCAGAAATCCAATGATCATGAGACGTCAAGTGATGCTCTTGTTGTTTCCTAAAAAGCACACTCTCGGGTGCAGGAAGACAAGAAGGTTTCCGCGATAAAGCGCTCACAATCAGTCAAATGAGAATGTTATTAGGGCGAATGGAAGCGCGGCGAGCCGCCGATCGGAGGTTTCGTTCGCCATCGTAGCCGTCGGCGATCGGAACCCGAATTGCGGTGTCTTACTCAAGGGCTATTCGCTGAAACAGGCAAAGCTGCGTTACGATCTGACGTAACGAATCGACGGCCTGCGCCGCCGCCGCTCTGTTCACCGACTATTTTTATATCTACGTTTTCCTATGTGAGCTTGTTTCTGTTTGGATCCTCGCAAAATTTCCTGCGGGCTTCGTAATGCGTCGTGAATGAAATAGGTGTCCTGGGAAGCTTTGCGATACCGTAGTGATGGTGCTAACGATGACCGATAATAGAAATCCTCGTCCGGCACTGGCATCGCCGCGACATGGGTCCGCCGCAAAGCGGCCATTCCGCACACACTCTCGATTTCGAATGCCACGATTTGGACTATGCCGACTCCATCTCGGAAAAGAGCATGCGACGTCCACAAGATCATCATAGGGAAATCCTCCCAAGCGCTTCCAATTGTTCGTTTCCGCTTCTCGAAGAATTTAAAGTTTCTCCGGGGACAAAAATCGCGCTGACGTATGGATAGATGGCGGCGCAAACAGCTCGAGTTATGAACATTAATCGCCGGAACCTCGCTAGAGAGAAGGGTAAGCCCTGCCCGTCATTCTCTTCTCAAGATCGCAGCGGGGAAGCGAGAGATGAAGCCGCGTGGCGGAATTCTCCTCCGAAGCTTCATCCGATCGGAAACGCGAGCTCTCGGACTCGGGCTCGTTCTGCGAACTGTAGCGTGAATTAGTAACCAATATTTCCAGAAGAGATGCTATGCGCTAGCTCGACGACTATCCGGAAGCTCACCATTTTCGGATAGGGCGGTCTGGCCAGCTAGTCCTCCCGCGGCCTGACGGGGTTCTCGCGAGCCCGACTCGACTCGCACTATCAGGAATCGCCGCTCGCCACAGGGCGACGTGAGCCGCCAAGGAAACCAGCAGCCCTCGCGGACTAGAGGGGAGGCTTACTTGCCGCGAGCGTCCTCCTATGTAACCCGTCACGGTCATGGCGGGATTGCGATGACCTTTGTCAACGCGGAAATTTCACTCGCTTACGAAAGCCCCGCCCAAGGAATCGCTCTCATGCGTCGCTAGCTTGACACCCTCTTGCGATCGCTGTTCCTGTTTTCGGTCTTTAACGAGCCACAAGAGGTAGAGTGTGCTAGAGGCAGCAATTTTGTCTAGGATCATCCTTTTTTTTATAGTCATCGCCTCGTGCCCACCTGAGCCGCTCAGTCACGTGTCCCGTGGGGAATGTGGCCTTGATGCGCAAGGCTCTTCGAGAGGCATGGGATCGACGCTTGATGACTCTCATCGATAGAGGAAAATCGACGGGAGACCGAGCTCTGTGACACGAGAGTAGCGATTCACGCATGCCGGAAGGCAGTTCGGCTCCACGGAGGATTCCCTCTGATTCGCTTCTCTGATAATAATCCCATCGGACTGAACCCCACGGCAGAACTCAACGTCTCGGATGTCCCTGAGGAGGTGCTCTTGTTTCTCTGCATGGATCTGGAGAGCGAAACCACTCGGGAAGATCGTGGTCGAGACTCATGTATTTCCCGACGGCCGGAATCGAGCTCCAGCACTCCCTGCGGCTCCGCTCATCGGAATGGGAACAGCAACGCTCAGATTCTGCGCAGAATTCTGATACCTATCTATCATGTCTCCGTCTCATTCCGCCGTCCGGCGACTAGATTCCGAGGCTCTGTCGGATGCGAAAAATCCTTAGGTTCCCCACCGTTTCATAGGTCCACTCTGTCGACTCGCTTCCTCTGCTTCCAGCCTGAGCGAGTCATTTTGCCAACTCTCTCATTTTCTCGGAGCTAGAACTCGGTCTTGATGGCGCACTAGGTTGTGGAAGTGGATCCTACGCTGCTCTGATCCCTGAATAGTTTCTGCTTGAGTTCAGAACGGTGGAAGCCTAAGCCCTCTTGATCCCGGACTGAATACTTCACGGCCAATCGAATGAGCCTGATCAAATACTTGTGGGAAAAAGCCAATCCGGCCGTAATTACGAACTAGCGGCGGAACGGAGGGGAGCCACTCGGAACACAATTTTCTCGCCGCCGAGAATGTGACTGCGGTTTCCCTTCTCTCGGGCTTTGTCCAGCCGATGGAGTAGTTTTTGTACTTCGAGAGCTTTTCTACGTGATGTCGACCCCAGGAAATCCCGGTGTTTGACGGCGGATTCAATGAAAAAAAAACGAAGGGCGACACGGAAGATGCTCGGGAGAAACTCTTCTTTCCCTGTTTGCTCATCAAGAAGCATCAGCACTTCCTCTCAAGTGTTGGCCTCCAAAGCTCCGTTTCCTGGACCGAGCCTTTTATTAGGGTTCCAAGTTCCGACTGGAGGAGCAGGCTCAGCGATGGTCCAGACGCCCAGACAAGCTGCTCCTCGGTGCTCTCGAGCGGCTCTGAAGGCCTTCTGTCCGCGCCAATGTTTGATCCCTGAACTCACTCTCGCGTCGATCTTGGTTCTGCTTCCGAGAACGGTAGCGACGAAGCAGACGACTTTCCTCCTTCCTCGAGTGAAAACTTTGCCTGAATTCATCTGCCGATCTTCGGACCTTCTGCTGGATTATGAAAGTGAGACGAACGATGCAAAGTCGATATCCGACACTGCTCTGATGGTCGCTTGAGTCTCTCGGCAGGATTCTGCCTGTTGATGGCTCATGATGTCCCCGACCAGAGGTCAAGTTCGCAGTAGAAATTTCACCAACATCTTCCCGAATCGAGGAGTCCATTGCAGATCAGCGAGTCGGATTTTTTCGGCATCTATTTTCTCGGAGCGAAGAGCGATACCTTCGGCCTTCCCGGTTTCCTGCTTCTGGTTGATGCGCGGAATATACGCGGATTCTGATGCCCCCGGCCAGAGCCCAAACTTGCCGCAGTCGGTGCAATTCGACTCCCAGAAAAAAGAATCGGCTCGATACGAAGGAGGGTAGCCCTGATTTGCGGAATCCCTCAACGAGTTGAACTCGATAGGTAACTTGATGTTCATCTGATTGGCGTCGATCACGAGATCAAATTCAAGAGCGATCGCGCGACTAAGCTCTCGAAAATTTTCATCCTGGAAGTGACTCAAGATAAGATGATTACAAAACCTAATTCGAATCGATTGCTCCATATCTCGAGACCTTTGGAATTGGAATCCTGGAAAAGTGTCACCGTTCGTACCGGTGACAAACGACAATGGCAGCCTGAGATCCTAGGCTCGGTGAGCTACCACATCCACAGAATCGGTGACCGTCAGCCTCAACCTTAATCATTGCCATTGAAACTGATGGCGACCTTTGACGTTCAAATGTTCCAATCAAAATTCGTCTATTTCAAAGCGCGGCGATTCCGACTGGATCGCCGCGTGACCAAGGGTGGATGGACCCGGGCTGCATCGAGGTAAATCGGCTCCTCCCCCAATATGGCGTTCGGACTAACTAGCCATTCGGAGCACGAAATGTGAGAGATGAAGGGACTGAGCGGAAGACCACAAGTCCGGCAAACCCGGCTCGGAGTCAGATGGTGTCCGCAATCTATTCGGTCTACGGACAGTGCGGCCCATGTCTCGGTCTCCAAAAACTATCCCAGAAGAATTCGTGGCGTCAATCGAGTATGATGCCCACTTTTTGGACCGTGGAGCGTCACGGGACGGCTCCAAAACTCGCATCGCCCGGGTCAGGACGGGAAGTCCTCGCTGGGCCCACGGTGTACTTCCGTCCTACACAAACGCTTGTCAGCAGATGCAATAGAAATCCTTGCCTGAGCCCCGCAGCCAGAAGCTTAAAGAGCGATCGAATCTCTCGGAAGCTCAGGTCAGCATGTTAGTTTCCCGGAATCCCTGCCGGGTGCACGGCCGCGGCTTAACGGACAGTTTCCGTATCCGAACCGAAGAGCAGGCGAAACCATATATGACCCATGCGGCCGGCATGCGAGCATGCGGACTCGGGGCCGTGCATTCTCCGAGTCCTGGCGCTCAGCGCCGGGCAACTACAGAAATTCTTGCGGACTAGGCTGCTGCCGCGAGACGTCAACAAATTTCCGAGGGTGATTCTGACAGAACCTTGTTTGTCCCCTTCGACACTCTCCTACGATTGGGGGCGGGGGCTATCTCGAGCGATGGAACGGTGCTTCCTTTTTCCGTTCGGAGCTCCCGTTAATGAAATTGGGGGGACCCTCCCATTGCTCGGCTCTCAAGGAAAAGATTGAGGCTGGAATGGTGAATTCGGTTCTCGGCTTGCTAGGATGGTCTTTCGGAATTCGACTCTGATAATTTCCGAAAAAGGATCGTTTCCCCGTCCTGACCTCCCCAACGAGGCTCTGCAGCGGGGGTCGCTCTCAGTTCTCGTGTTCGCCCATGACGCAACGTAAGAGTATATCGAGGTAATGCAAGTCCGTTCATGACACCCTATGACAGCTCTGGCATCTCCATGCGGGAGTTTCCTGTTTTCGTTCATCCACCCTTTCTCTAGGGGGGCACACGCGGAGTTCAGAATGCCGGGCCCAGGGAGAGGCCTTCGAGGGAGAGGCCTTCCTGGGCGGACAGCTCCTCTTTTTCCCTTCAGCCTCCCGTTCGGTGCATTCTCCGATGAATATCCGGGAACCTTGACTGTCTGAATACGCTGACGATCCGTATCATCATGAAAACGCCCCGTAACGATCGCTCCATGTTATCCAGCGTATGCAAGAGATTTCGTCCAAGTTCTCACGCTAGATCTCAACTTCCAGGTCAACGAGAACTATCTTTCGTGGGAGTTCCGTGTGAGAGCACGGACGCCTGAGCACGGGGCTATTTACGATGTCGAACAACAACTCCTCGAAAGATCTCCCGGAAACACCGGGGCGCACCAAATGGGGTCGTGACCGGCTGCCGCACAAACAGTGCTGCAACTCGTGGTCGTTATGGGCGATACTCAAAAAATGCCTCGGAAAGGTGAGTTGCCCGAAAATCGAAGTTCGTTCCCGTAATCTCCATATCAAGCCCATCCCGAATCGCTCCCTCGGTTGATTCACGTTCCCTCGAGGAATAGTGGAACCGCTGAGGACTTGAGGCGGAGTCAATATGACTGATGGTATATACCTTGACACCGGTCACTCGCTGTCTGCAGGAGCTGTACAAAATCTCGATGCCGGTGGAGTTCAACGAGCCTCTTAGTTTTCTTCAACGCTTAGTCGAAACCTTCGAGTACGTGAATCTCCTCGACCAAGCAGCCAACGAGCCGGACCCTGTCCGACGGATGCAATTCGTAGCGGCTTTCGCGGTGGCAAGCCTGAGCTCCAATCTGAACAGGATGAAGAAACCCTTCAACCCTCTTCTGGGCGAAACCTACGAACTCGACAGGTCAGTTTCTGCTTGTCTTACAGCTCATGAAGCTTCGCCGAGTGTCCTCCGCAATGGATGACGGCGGATCTCGCAGATGAGCTCAGCGCCCCTCGTGCCTCGAAAAATCACCTCGAGAGATCGCTCAGATCAAATTGAGGATATTTTCGATGTACTCTACATTGGCTCCCTCTCGACGCGACGCATATCGATGAAGGACGAAAACTGGAGACCCATCCCATTCCGATGAGCGCGGCGGCTTTAAATGCATCACTCCGTGAGGGATTGGTGGACTTCCCTAAACAAACAGAAAATACGAGTGGTGTCATTTTAAATCAGACTCTTCGGTGTCCGTCATACAGAACTTCTCTCGGAGACAGGAAAAAACTAAATGCCTTTCCGGAACAGATCGCTCACATGTTTGGAAGAGCCTCTTCGAGGGGATCAAGCTCTCCTGTAGAGTATTTTTCCGACTCGACGCTCTGCTTTCGCCGAGTTCGGTCTCATGTTTCTGAAGATCGTATTTCTTTGCGCTAGTTAAATTCCGTGCTGCGCCACGACCGCCACAAATATTCGCGCTTGCTTCTGGTTACTCTGGTTTAACTATGTCCCCGCGTCTGCCCTTGTCCTGTTGAAGAAGCTGTTCAGCCTGCTCACGGATTCGGCGAAGTCGGCCGCAGCACTTCGCGGCTCTTTCCGGCCGGCGGTATGCTGTCGAATTGGGTCTTTCGCCGAATATTGTAGCTAGCATTCCACGCCGGGGAGCGTCCAGAAGATCCAGGGCGAATATTTTAACCTCCGCATACAAAGAAGCAGCCTTCGGGCTCACGGAAATCGAAGCGTAGTGCCTTCAACGAAGGATCAAAACCAAAAACGATTACTGCGGGGACTCTTGGTACTTGTTCGAGAGCGGATTTCGTCCCGAGTAGAGACCGTGATCTTCGAGATGAGAAGATGATCAGACTCGGGGCATACGGTGACTCAGAGCAACTTCCGATCTGCTAGGCACTAGTTTGTCCTCCGGAGGGAGGAGCACCCATCAAGAGGGAATTCGAGACACATTCGATGAGTTGGAACAAAATTTTTTTTCCCCGCAGAAGTGCCGAGGATGGCTTCCGGATCATGGCTGAACAAGTTTCGCATCATCCCCCGATTTCAGCTTTCTACTGTGCCAGTTCCAAAGGCGAATACGAGGTTGAAGGTTGCTTGAATCCTCGCTTGAAATTCTGGGGCAGGAGTGTCGAAATCAAGCCTGAAGGTGAGATTTTGCAGAGAATTTTTCTCGCGTTGGGGCTCAGAGCGTCGGCGGATCCGTGGAGATAGGGCCCGGATCGATAAATTCCCGGAGTGACGACCCCGTTTGCTAGCCGTAGGCCAGGAGTTGCGGTCGGAGCAGTCTCCTCATCAACACATTCGATCGGAGGCGGAACCTCTGAGGGAGATCGGTCATAGGGGTCTGAGACACGTTCCGAGACAGCACCCCCGATTATGAATAACCATTACCGATCAGAATTCCATGATGACTTTGCCGCGGATATGTGTTTAGGGAAACGTCTCGACTCTCGAAGCTGACTGAATATGAGGTGTGCGCTTGATCGTTTTGAGTGGAATCGAGCGAGCTCCGAATTCTCGTCACGGCACGGGGGTCATTGTAGAGCCTCTCAATGGAGTATCGACTCCATTCACAGAAGGACCCAGTTGTCTTAGCAACTGACGAAGGTTCACGATTGTATTCGGTGGGAGGGTTTCGTCACCGGAGTTTATCGAGGATCCCGAAATAGAACGGAGCCCTACATCGGCGCGCTGCGCAAGGGTCACAGAAGAGCGCTAAGTTCATTCGATTTCGACCCTGTCTAAACGTCGAGGCCTCCGTCGTTACAGGTTCTATTCGCGTACGCTTCCCGAAACTGAACAACGAAGAATACGTGTGGCAGAACGTTGACTGCTGCATCCACAATATTATTTTGGGCACGCTATACTTCGAGCAGTACGGCGATCAATTCATAACGTGCAAGGAGACCGATCTATTATGTCGAATAAACTACAAAAAAGCTAACGGACCAACTGACATCCAGCTCCATAGCATTCTCGGGTGAGTTTCCATCAATCTCCGTCCTTCGGGGAAGAGAGCCTGCCGAGGGGAAAGGTTCCGCGAAGCAACCTCCGTCCCACCTCTCACGGTCTGAATATATTTTCGTTCGGTTCGCAGGTATATCATTAATAAATCAGGACAGAAAGTGTCGAAGATCTCCGGAAGGTGGTGTCATGAGGTGTACACATCCTCGATGGCCGACGAAGAGAGCAAACCGGTATGGCAAGCGACGCCTCGACCTCCTTTTGCCGGCGACTACTATAACTTCACGACGATGGCTATGGCATTGAATGAAAAACTTCCCGCCACTTGTTCTGCCAAACTACCGTCGACAGACTCCCGCTTCAGACCGGACATCCGTCTCCTCGAAGAGGGCGATCTCGGTGAGTAGAAGCGCGAAGGACTCGATGGGCGCTTCGCCGGCAAATCCCTATAAAAGAATTCATGTATGATACATACAATATCACGGGGACCTTCTCAAGACCTGAGCCCAACGGGAGACGCAAACGAAGACCGGAGATGTTGCGCGGCGGTGAGACCAATCCTCGACGTTCATTCGATTCGGTCCCGTGGAGTGAACTCGATACCCTCGTGAAGCTTTTTTGTGCTCTTTGCGGCACAGGAATTGTTCACACCGGAGCAAGCCCGCTCATCCGTATCTCGAGTCTTTTCCCATGCTCATTCCGAGGCAGCGTCGGAGGAAGCGATTCTGTGATTTGTCAATTCCTTCCGGGAAAGGATTTCGGCTATTCTGAGCCAGAGCTTGAGTCTCTCGAAGCATCATTATGAAGTGCCAGAAGCGTAGCAGACGACTTTCGGTTGCGATTCATAAGAGGACGGTGTCCGTGACGTCCTCGAGGAGACATATCCGACCCAGATGACGCATTTCGGTTAGTAATTGAAAATTTCTCCATTTTCCCTTGCAGACGGAGCTTCCGCCGAAAAACACCGTTTGGAGGAGAAGCAGCGGGAGGCCAAGAAGAAACAAAGCAAGACTTCGGCCGAGTGGAAACCCTTGTGGTTCGAGAAAGTGACCGATGTGCACTGGCGCTACACGGGCGGCTATTGGGATCGAGCGAGCGATAAATGTTCGCTCGATATTTTTTAAATCGTCTGAGATTTGTCGAGCTAACGAGTCACTCCCGAATATCTTAGCTTCGCTTCCTGGACAGCCATAGCCTCGAAATGCGCTCCTCTTGATGTGTCACCTCGAAGGGACAACTTTCCGGGAATCGAACCGTCCAAAGTCATGGAGATCTGAATGAGCATTGTCTCGGATCCACGTTCCGTAGCGGGGAATAGTTGAACAATTTTCGTAGATGAATCGTGTCCATCGATTACTGTATCATGGTAGTTTCTATTGGCGGTTGTCAGGAAGAATCAGCCAACGTCTGATTCGAACCAACGAACTTTTCTCAAACAATGAAAACAGAAGTGCAGCTCCCAGAGACTACATAGGAGGCCTTGTTTAAGGAAACAAGACCGGACTCGATTTCGGCAAATAGGTATTCAATCCAGGATGACTGGAGCGACAGGCGTTGGACTTCAGGTGGCTCCTTCATTGCTCATCGATTGTGAGCTTTATCGTGAGGGCGATTTTGTCTCTGGACGGTTCTAGAAAGTGATTACGGGATGCCTAAACATGGACCGCGAAGAAGATGAGAGGAGCCCACCTTCGAATTCTCATGCAGATAAATCGAATCGAATGGTATGGTATGGCGGTCGACGGGAAACTGGTATCTATCAGAATCGCCCGAACTTCGCACACTACTTAATGCTGAATTGCAAGCCTTCTCGATGGTCGAATCGGTCCTCCATTGGAAATGCTTAATGCAGGGTCAAATGCGCACCGAGAAAACCATTGCTTGAGCAAGAGCAGCTGCCGATCTCTCGCGAGCGACCGTTCATTCGGAGAAAAGAACACAGGGAGACATGTCTTTTCCGTCACTTCGTCACCTCTGTGACGGGTCGTCTCGACACCAATCGAAGCGCTTCGGTGAGAACGCACAGGAAATGAGGAGTCGCCTCGCGATTTTCGGCAGTGCTAGCGGGCGGAATACCCCGCTCGTAGGCGCCAGATCGCAGGGATGTGGAATGATCATGCTTGATGTCATCGCATTCGGCAGAGGAGCTCAATCCCGAGCGGGGGCGACGCGACGTGAGAAAAATACTCGAGTGTTGTGGTTTTCAGGTCTATTGAGACCCTCAGAAATTCAGTAGAGGTGTGCTGATCGAGATCAAAAGTCATTGTCGAGCTCGGACTGGAGCCACTTGATGATTGGGGAGTGAAACTCGGAGGATATTGCAAACCGTCCACAGAAAGCTGCTTGAGAATCCCTTCGATTTCCGCGGACGATAGCTGTATGAAGACAGCGAGCCATGAAGAATTGATGCCGAGCCAATATAGTCCTTGATTCCGCCCGAAACGGAATAGAGAAACAAGCTCAAGAGACCATGAACGTGAGATCATCTCGGGGTGAAATTGATTCGTATCGAAGGCTCCGATCGCTAGATGTTCGAATACTACAGATATTAGGACCGTTCTCATCGTCTACCGACGGGCGTATGGCATGTGAAACGGTGAATTGCGAAGTGAACGGCGCGAACAGGACGAGCTTCATTCGGTACACCTCAGGGAGGGCGCGCAGATTGATCCGTAGAAATATGACGACCAGAAATCCCCTTAGTCGGAAGAATCAATGCCAGAGCCGAGAGAACATTCTGGACGATCGTGGAAGAATGTCCCGTCGGCTACGGCAATGATTGAAGATGAGGAATATTGTGGGGGATTTTGCTCGAGCTCACAGAATGATTTTATGTTCGGTTGGAGTTCGAATATAGACAGGCGACGTAGGGATCGCACCAAGGCAAGAACAATCAGATGTCAGTGAAGACTAACTCGAACGACGGTGTAGATTTGACCTAGGATGCGGGGTGAGTCACATGGAAATTGTGGGCTGGGAACTTGTGAAATCGGTATGACTCCGGAATGATATAAATATGTGCAATGTTGGAAATGTTAGTTTGAGCGAATAGCGCTGTCTATCGTGAATCTATCCTGAAATCCCAATACATTCCGATTCGTCCACAATAATGATTGTGCGAAGAATCTGGGATCAGTGTTTATTGGCTGTGTTTTTCTTGTGTTTCGTTGCTAGGGTCGTCCATACCAGGAGTCCCTTCGGGTCATCTGTAATCATTAAGGCCAGCTCGTGGTCGAGCATCTCTGTGATTTCATTCGCAGAATCAGTTTCGATTTGCTTGGAAGCGCGATGTGTATCGCTCTCCCTTCGGTGAGGTTCCCCGAGTCGGGCCGATACTGCACCGGGGAGTGGATTGATACCTAGGTCCTACGTCAGCACTCAATACGGGGAATAAACGACTCCGAACCTGGCGGATAATCCGGCAATGACGCGCCCGCTCCCCCAAAAAGTCGAACCCGCCAGTGATTCATGGCGAGCTTAAGCTTGTGTGCAACGTGCTGAGAAAGCAGGTGATTAAATGTTTCTTCCTGAGCTGCCGCTCTTTTACGCCCGAGGATGCTCGATATTAGCGAGAATCCCGGTCATGTCCGTGTTCCATGCTGATCTGGGCAGTTTCTTCGAATTCCCGGGCGAAAACAGGACACTCCCCGGGAAATCGTCGCTGATCGCGCTCCGAGAGCTGCACGGAGAACTTCAGGGAGCTGCTCTCCTCGTCCCTGGCAACTCTCATCAGCTCCGGCCGCTGTACCGATCCTCCGCAGACGTCGTCCATGAACTGTTCGACCAAATCGGCACGAGAGTCGTGTGCCAAGCATCCGCAATCGCGGCTCGCTCCTTTCGACTTTGATTCCAACATCCGAGGGACTAGCACCTGCCTGTGACCGAAGTATCGGAAGAGGATTCGAAAGAGGCCACCGCGTTCGATGGCGCGAATCAATAGAGAGGATATCTGGTCAACAATATCCATCGACCGCAGGACTGAACAGAGAAAGCTGATCATCTCAGGCTCTCGTGATTCGTGATATCCGCCGCTCAGATCCGGCTCCTTGCACAATCATGCTTTGGAAGTCAGGGCATCGAAACATACTCGAGAGCCTCTTGGGGCTGCGGCGGGAGTCCGTTATGTTCCTTCCCAGCCCCTTAGCTCTGATACTGGTGAGACTCCGATGTCCCTCAAGAACTATGCGAGCGGAAGAGCCCGTGGGTTTTCCAGGTCGTTACCGACAGTTTTGGCTACAGGAGTTCGCCACAAACTTCGCATTAGTCATGTGATGAGAAGTCTGCCAGCTCGACCGAGGAACACGAGTCGTGCGAGGGTGATATGAGGGTTGCTTCGACCTCGAGGTGGCGGTGCATTTACCACCGCCATCTCCGACCATTCGCATTCCTATCCTATCCGAACATTGAGGAAAAATGCAAACGAAGCATTCAACACCGGTTCACAATGTTTTCCGTTCGAAATGCTGCCGAAACGGGAGCCGAGCGCCCTTTCTCCCTCAGATTAGCCGTGTACTTGCAAGAGCTCATTCCTCCGTCATCGGTAGGTCTCATCTCGACGTCCTCAAGCCTGAGAAATCGTTCATTGAATCATTTCATCGGACTCATTTCGAGCGAAATTTCGCGAATCATTGCGCTCGATCGGCGTTTTCTTTGATAAGAATACGATGCGGACTCGTTGGGAAGTCCCTATACCACGGAGGTATATCAGTGAGAATCGCTCAGCTTGAGCCCATGAGAGCCGGAACCCTGAATTAACAGCTGCGAACTCCGGAAGCGAATCGTTCCGGGAGTGTCTGGGGTGTCGAAGACAAAAGGGGATGCGGAAATGGGTTGGAACGCCGTGGTCGAGACGGGAAATCTAAGAGCCACACGTCGAGAGGATGCGGGGCTCCCATCGAACTATCTTGAAGATATTCCAAGAGAGGGAGAGGGACTGAGGACGAACCTTGCCCCAGCGCCACACATGGTGAGGAGTGAATGTCTGCAGCTCCATAGAATACAGCCATCTCTCCATCGGGAATTCCGAAGGCGAGGAAACAATTTTTCCGGCAGAGGAACCGGGGAAACGACTCAATTCGACGAAGTGATCTACCCCGGGCTGGGAGCAATACAATGAAGAGGTCATTTAGCGGCAGAAGGAAGGGAGCCGACGTATCAGCCAAGGAAGCCGACGCATCAGCGAAGGGAACCTGGCTCTGGCCTGGAAGCATCATAAGTCGATGACAATGTATAAGACAACACGGATAGGTATCCATGAAAGTCATGATCAGTCTCGCCCTCCTCAGGCTGTTTAGGGATACATCGAGGACTCGAGTGGATAGCCGAGAAACGCCATTGAACCCTTTGGGTCTCCACCTTGTAAAGATCCACGCGAGCCCGACTCCGACATCTCGTCTAAATAGGCTCTTTCTGCGAAGCTGGGCGAGATTCACTCCCTTCTTGAAACAGAGACGCAAAAAGGAACCAGATGAATGTGATAGAGATACCGAACGCCGAATTTCGGATAGTACGGAGCACAATCGTGAGATTCAGAAACAGCTCAGGTTCCGCCTCCTTCTCGAGGTTGCATCCTTCTACAGAACGCTCTAACTGAGACCCAAGTTCACGGGTCCCCATTCGCTCAATCACCAAGCAGAACCACGGATTTCTGTTTATTAATCGGGCGACTTGCCGCGACCGTTCGAAAATACAGAAACGTTGTCGTCGAATCGACGCATTTTGAGAGTTTGTTTTCGCGCGCGCTGCGCTCAATATGGCGGCGCCCTCCCTGTCGAGTTTGTTGTTTGTTGTAATGATGATTGGCAGTCGATGAAACAGCAACTGTAGCTCGAGTTGGGAGAGTTTTGTTGAGAATGCGACTCTAGTTCTCCGTTAAGTTTCGTCCGAGTCGCACATCTTGTTGCTGAGTGTGTTTCGTTAAGTTTCCGAGTACCAGAAGCCGCAGTTTGAAAGTTTGGTCGGTGGCTCACACTCACAAACACACTCACACCACCGCGAACAACACCGCCACAGATCCCAAGAACAAGTTCGGAACCAAGTTTCCCGTGAAGTCGTCTCCACACTCCCGAGCTCCCGGCCAGTGCGGATCGTGGTGTCGAAGTTTCTAGTGTCTGTCGAGCTGACCGGAGTCCTAGGTCTCCTTGAAACCCAACTCTCGAGTTGGGAGTCCGCGGATCACCCCTCCCTCGAGAACCCCTCATCGACCCCTTGAGCGGGGGAGCGAAGCAACAGGTATCCGGACTCGAGAAAACGACAGAATTTCAACCGTTATCGGCGTGGGGGAACGCGGGGGCCTAGAGATGCTGGAGCGTCGATGAGTGTTCGCGATTTCAGCTGCGATGGTCGGAGTGCTACCCGGAATTACCGGGGGGCGCTTCAGACAAGACCAAACTGCAGTTTCATCGCATCACCTTAACATGAGCGGCTCGATGGCAAAGGTGTGCTTCGTGTGTGGAGGAGTTCCCGCGAGACTCGTTCTCTTCACGAAACAGGTTGTCGATGCCAACGGAATCTGTCTGCCGTATTTTCCGTTCCTCGAAAAGCATACCGCACCCCAAGGTGCCGAACGAGCTTCAGCGGATGGTCGTGTTCTCGCTTGCAACGTCTGTCACGCGCTCCTGCAGCAGCAGTGGGAAACGCACGAAATTCAACGAACACCCCATTCTAAACGAACTTACTGGTTGAAGCGTGTAGATAATGGACCCTTCAGCGGACTTGATCTCCGACAAGAAGACTATCAATCTCATAATAACCCCCAACTACAACACAATCCGAATCAGCAGCAGCACCAACAAAACAGCCAACAGCAGCTGCAGCCGCAGTATTTCGGCGCTCAGCAAATGCCCTTGAATTACCGTACGTCGACGACGTCCTCGACGACCCCCGCATCAGTGAAAGAACCGATCTCGAGGACACCAGTGAGTTCATCGAATCAAAATGACTCCAATGGACAGAATATCCTCGACCTCTCGAAACCTGTGGGTCGTGTGAACTCCGAGAAGACTGGTTTCGTTTTGAACAACTTGAATACGAACGTTCTGAGTCGCAGCCATAGCAGCGGCGGCAGCTGCGGCGTGAGCAGCAGCACCGGGAACAACAACAGCACTGGCAATAAAGATATCATGAGCAACAACAATAACACGATCGCGTACGACTTTTCGAAACAGAGCGGCCAGACGACCGCGGACAAAAAGGAATGCGACCGTACGCTGGAGATCTCTTCTCAGAGGGACGGTGCTTCGGAGACGTCGGACGTCTGTTACGTATGCGGAGGTCGGGTGAAACGAGGAACTTTGTTAAATATCTTCGCGAAACGCATCGCGAACTGCCCGTTCTTCCCGAGTCTGCTGAACCACGAGAGACCGCCCCGAAGTTTTCCTGTCGACCACGCGATGGGACGCATCAAGGCGTGCCAGTCGTGTCACGCGTTTTTATTGCACCAATGGGACGCCTACCAAAAATTGAACGTGCCGCCGAACGAACGCCACTACCAAATGCCCCCGCCCCGGGCCTCGGGCTGTCCCGCTCTACCGATGGGCACTTTGCCCCCGCCCACGATCGTTCATAAGGCCAAGGAGATGACCGTTGCTCCTTCGGCACCCGCGCCTTTCAACCCGAGTGCGGGGAACTTCGTCTGTTTGACGTGTGGGAACGAGCAGCCGTCGTCCATACATCGACTCGTATCGACTACGGCGCAGGCGGACAACGAGTCGTACTTCGGCTTCCTCCGGCGACTGAAACCCCCACCCGGAGCGCCCCCAATGAACGCTAAAGGTCAAGTCGTCATTTGTTCTCCTTGTTACAAGAACTTGCAGCGTCAGCACCGGGTTTTCGAAATATCAAAAGTTCCCGAACACAAGAGAAACTACAAAGTGATGATCAACAGCGAACAGCTCGAAGCTCAAGCGTGTCCACCGTCGTCGTCATCGCCGTCACCGTCGTTGGGCCAATCGGCACCGTCGTCCCACCATTCGCTGCCGGCAGCGACGAACCTCAAAACACAGGCGGCGGCTACTGCTCCCACTGTCCCCTCCAGCACACAGGCGGTCAAGACGACGAGTGCAACAACGACCCTGAAGTTGGCCACGACCAACCCCATTTCTCGCTCGTCGAACGGTCCAAAGTACGTCGGCTGTTACATTTGTGAGAAGATTGGACCCATCGACATGCTCGTTCCCGTCGATACTGCGCTCAATCGAGAAGGCCGAGCCTTCTTCCCGGTTATCGAAGATCTACCCCGACCGATCGCCGCTATGCCGATGGACTCCGCGGGAAAAGTTCTCTTGTGCAACGATTGTCGGAACAACCTGATGTTGCAGTGGTCGACGTTCGAAACGACGGGAATCCCGTACAAACACCGAGTGTACCAAGTCAACACTACTCCATCACCGACCGGCGGGACTTCTGTTTTCCAAGCGATGAAAACAGGCCCGTCGAGGCTTCCGGTGATCTCTCAGGCGAGCTCGGCTCGCTCGAGCAACGAAAACGCTGCGCTCCGAGTGCAGGTGTTGGCGACCGCCGGCGAGGCAGCGGCCAGCGGGCATCCTTCCGCTTGCCAGACATTACTGACGACGGTTCCTACGAGCTCGACGTATTCGACTCCGAGCGTAGCTCAAGCATCTACGAAAGCAGCCGCGGCGGGCCAGTTCGTCGGCTTGGATCTCAAGGTTTCGCGACCGAAAGCGGCCGTGAGCCCTGTCAGCGCTACTCCGCTCTTGAAACCAGCTGTTGTTGCTGCCGCCACCGCCGCGAAACAAATGAAAGACATGGCATCGTCGAACCTTCCTCAGCATGTGGCAACGCAGCCGAGCGCTTCTGAGCACGACTGCTTTTTTTGTGCGGAGCGTACGTCGACAATGTATACCGTATGCGCGCATCCAGTCGACGACCAGTCGGCGTTTTTCCCGATCATAACGCGAATTCTCGATGCTCGCCGAGCGGCGGCACTGTCTCAAGACATGATCATCGATAATAATCATACGGAGGGAACGGTGGTCACCTGCAGCTTCTGCTACCACTCGCTCATGGCTCAGTGGTCGGCGTACGAGATGTCGCCGCATATCGAGGATCGGGACCGAGTGAATCGGAAGTACAATACACACGACTACGTGTGCTACATATGCGGCATCATCACATACCGGAAGCGTGTTCGTTGCATTACTGTCAAGGACTTCCCGTTTTTGATGTCGCATCCCCGGCACGGAGGCGCGTTGCAGCTGCACCAATTCGAGAGCGTTGTCACCTGTCTGACTTGCTTCGAAGGCCTAACGGGCCAGTGGCGAGAATACGAGAGATTGCGAGTCCCCCTGGAAATGCGGAAGTACAACTGGATAGCGGTCCCGCCCCCGCCAGAGCAGGTGAGTGAAGAGTCCATTCCGAATGACAGTCTCTGATCCTATATCAGGTATTCTGACGGAGAGCCTAGCCCATCATCCACCTAAATACACCATAAATTGACCAATGAATTGAGCCGAATCGGATGTCGTGAAACTTGTTCAATATTTTGATTCGTCTGGCTTTTGCAACGCTGTACCATGGCTGTATCTCCACAATAGTTTTTGCCCTCGTCCGTCGATGCTGGTCAAGGACGGGCTCCATCTGCGCGTAACGCGACTTCAGGACCTTGGCGTAGTCGGACGCCGAAGGTCAGCATTTCCGTGCGCGAAGAAGCCTCAGGGATGGCAGCTGTCAACTCTTAATGGATCCGACAGCTCTCATCGCCGAACTCGTCGATATCTTATCACTAATATACGTAGGCATGTGATTCCTTATATTTTCAGTGTGTTCGTCTGCCAGCGAATCGTGGAATCTCGCGGTATGAAAGTGGGCGACTTGGAGCAGATAAAACGGGGGAATACATCTCTGTCAAGGCACTTCCGCTTTCGTGTTCGAGGATTTTCCCTCACTCCCTCCCTCACAGAGAGATACCCGGCTCGAACCATGATAGATGCGTGGTTGACTCGCGTCTATTCCTTGCATAGCCTCCCCCGCGGAATGGGAGACGAGATCACGAATCGAACGGATCAGGGCTAGGAAAATCACGAAAAAAGGATTCCAATTCTTGGAAGTCCCTCAGATATTCGAGATCTTTTTCTAGCTCCGAGCCATACGCGAGAAATCAATCGATCAACCCATTCCGATGATTGACGCTGTATCCAGCCGAAGATTTTAGAAGAATGCACATCGGAGCTCGACTCCAACATTCCAGCCGGAACCGTAACGTGCTCTCATTCCTATCTCGGAAGACGATTTCAATCGTGGACCGATAAGAGCGGCTTGGAAAAGATAATGACGGCAACGTCAACGACGATCAGCGCGGCAAGCGCGATGATGCTACCAGACGCTCTATTCAGTACATGTAGTAGTACCCATCGGAATGCTACGACAGCGTTCGGTTGTAAGCATCCGTGGCGCTTCTGTATCACGATGCGTGCCGACAGATGGTGCGTCTGGATGAAGAATTTCCTCCCTCTCGCTGGAAAGTCCTCTGCTTTGCTGAGACTGGATGCTAATCTCGGCGAACTCCTCGACCGTAGATTGCACGGTCGACTCACTTGAACGAGAGCGCCGAACCGGTGCTGGCTGGCTTCCTCTGCCGAAGAGCCTACAGCAACAAAGTTTCTATCGGTGGATCTCTCCCGGCCTAATCTAATCCCATCTTGCCAGAATCTTATCTGCCTAGCTTCCATCTACCTACTCTGCGCCGGCTGAAACCGATTCAGAGACTGATCCATTCCATCGACGACCCGAATTTCCCGATAGTACCACATGTGATATGTCACTTCAGAGTTCGCGCCTGTTGGCCCAGGGTTGGTGACTTGGGTTTTCTTGGTCTTCGGCGTCCCAATCCGGAAAAGGATGGAGCGTTCCGACTGTCCGAGTGCCTTACGGAATCTCTCGGGCAGCGATCCTCGTCCGACCTTCCAAAGAATTCGGCTGCCTAATTTCGGTTTGAGCGGTTTATCGGGGACCGCTCTTCTATAGCGCTAGAATGTCTCACAACCAAATTGGCCGTCTTCGGGAAACGGGTTGAACACATATTACCTGTGATAAGTGACGATGGCGTTCTCTGTGAGGGACCCGCCACCGGGCTGTCCTGCCTGTCAAAGCCCACCACGAATGATAGTATGATATTTTTGTCAAAGACAACAAGCCGAGCGTTTGCGGCACCTGACTTATGATGTTCGGAAGGTTCTCTCCTTGTAAAGGTCGTCGATGAAGAAGATAACGGAGTTCGTAATCTTCCCGTGGTTATGAAGATCGCCGCGCCGTCCTTTAGATCGGGAATTCGGACGGGAAGCGAACCTCTACTGCCCGTCAATGCGATCGGTATACGCGGGAGCTCTAGACCCGGGAGCCATATTCCAGCTAGTCACGAATTAATGGATGTAGTACGCTCGTTCTCTGGATTAGAGACCATAATAATGTCGAGTCGTGAGAAACATTCTCAATCATGTCCTCATTTTCAGGATGAAGACAGTAATGGAGCGCCTTGTTCAGGAGATGGTGAGTTCTGGATCTTTATCATTTGTCTAGTCAGTGTCCTCACGGCAAGAAGAAGCTCCGGTGCGCTGATTCCGGGTCCCGTGAACGGAGTAATTCCTCAGGGGAAAGGAATCGGCTCCCGTTCCGATGCGGCTGAGTTGATAGTTTGAGGTTTCTGCTTTGCCGAGCTCCAATATCAGAGTTCCGATCTGAAATTCATTTGCATCAACGGCCGGAGAACAATCGTCCTTCCATCGAAAGTTACTCGGGATAGTTTAGAGCGGACAGCATTAGATCGTTCCGAATGTATTCGGATCAAACTCCCAATGAAAGTGGGGATCGGTTCCCTGGAAAGCGCTGATGGGGAAGACGGGCAAATCCGTGGTCTTGACACTTCGGAGAAGCCACGAAATCCGAATGAGGACCGAGCGCCCAGCTTGTCAAGGATTCAGCTCGTGGGGAAGGAGCGGGGAGAGGCTCAGGGATCAAAACAGTCTGGGAGGAGAGATCAGCTTCTAAGTCAGCTGATTGTGTCTGTTTGGGTGAAGCAGAAGTGCTCGGCTCCTAAGCGAACGGGGGAGGACAAAAGCGAGGGAGAGGGACAATATGGTGGAAAGGACTCCCCATTCTCCTGATGGCTGGTTACAACCTGGAGCGAAAAAGCGTGAGTCTCGCTCTACTCTGCACGCAGCAGCACCCGCACCCTACTAGCCTACATCGTCAAGATCGGAAGCATTGTTGTTTCCAGTGAAAGATCCATTCTTATTATTCTGGGGAGTCCCAAGCACGTACGGATTGAGTTCATTTCGATCGATCCGTGACGGTAGTTCATGAAGAACGTCGCATCGGAGTCTTCCAGTTTTCACTCATCGTCAGTGAAACGTGCGTCTGAAGTGTGAGCGGCTCCCCCTCCGGAATCTGATGAGGACATTTCGAAGCAGACAACTCCCCCCGATCCCCTTGTCCCCGAGGGCCCATCGGAACGGCACTTCTAGACGTTTCGTCCATCACGGGACGAGTGAGGTGCAGGCGAGCGAAGCATCTCGCGGAACTTATCAATAGAAGTGCATCGAGTGAGCGACTTGGAGCGGCTCCTCTCGTGATTGACGGTCGGCTCTGTCGGAGCGAGGAATAGGGAGTGCGAACGTCGTCGTGACGGTCATCACGCTCAAAATGTGAAACCGCGTCATCTCCCAACTATGCAATGAGTCTGAACAATATATTCGGGGCTTTGCCCCCGCTACCTGGCGGCGTAGTGAATGGTTTGCCCCATCATCCGGTCGTGGCGAACCATTCGGTGAATCCTCTCATGTCGCCGTCTTCTCTTCTGTTGAGTCCCGTGGCACCCCCGGTCACATCGCTCTCGCCGGGTACAACTCCGTGTCCGCAGAGCTCTGCGTCGGCCGTGGGCGGCGGAATACCCACGACAAGTTCGGCTTTCAGCTTTTTGCGACCGTTTGCCTTCCCGGAGTACGGTCTGCCACCCCCTCAGATACCAGGTGAGTTTCCACTCCGAGCTGATCTCCTCCGAATCACCGACCACTTCAGAAGCCCCGGAGCGAGAGACAATTGTCGATGATAGACAATGATACCGCGCCGGGTTCCAACGACAGGAAGTGTCGATAGTTCCTGGCCTCAATCAATGGAACCTGAGGCGCATACTCAAGATTCCTGAAGCGACAACGGTTAGGGGATCCACGCCGGTCATTAGGGAGTTTTCCGGGCACGAATACGATACCTACTTATTTCCAAGTCGTGTCAATGAAACATCGCCATGGAAGTCCGGGGAACGAAAGACAGAGTCTTACAGAGTCACCCAGAGCGACACGAGACTCGAGCTCGGGACGGAGTCCGGAATTCACGGAGTGGCGCGAACGGGGAGGACTCTGCCTAATCCGTAAAGCCCCCGACGGTCGGCCGAACGCGCGAGTTCTGTCTGCCTGAATCGCGACTGCTGCTCCGCTTGAACTCCTTTCCCGTGCCTTCACGCATAATGACGTCTGATTCGGTGCTATTTCCCCACCCGTTGTCTTCTCAGGCCAACCTCGTCGTCACCCGTCCCCGAGCAGATTCAGAATCCGATCTCCATGTTGATTACTCTGGGCCACAATCCCCGGAAAATCCCGGCCGTAAAGGGCGAGGGAATGGTACTCTAACTCGACTTTCTGCCTTGTCGGCTATTACGGACCATGCGAGCTTTGCAATCATGGCTTCTGTATCGAATATCAATAGAGGTCTCTGTCCGGCATGGACGCTATCGCCGCGCGTGCTGTCGTTCATTCCTCCAAATCATGGACGCCGATCAAAGGGATCTCGATGGAGAATTCTCGTTCGAGAGCTCGGCGACGAACCGACTTCTAGACTCCAGCTTCATGCCCGATGCGGTATCCCGACTCTGGGGCTTAGAGCGCTAGGCTTTGAGATGCTTGTACTACGAGCGGAGGGAGCAGCGCCTAAGATGTGCCTACCCTCGCCCGTGGGAGCAACCCTACCCCGATCGTCCCCAAAGTGTCGGGGCTGACCGCCCGAGGGAAGAGTCAGCGCCACCGCCGCTCCTACGGCTCGGATCAAGCGGAGGTTGGAAGACCGCAAGAACCAGGGGGCAAACGAGCTGAGGAGGCACGAGTCACTCCTGAAGGATGTAGAGAGGAATTCGATGGAAACAAGCTCGATACGAAGGTCTTCCTTTGACCCGGATACGGGAATCAGCACCACTCACCTGACACTTCGCTCGAAACATAATTTTTCCATTGTTCCGACTGGGAGAAAAAATATACTCTTAGGGGCACACCGTATGTCCCACGGCTCTCCGTTCCGAGATAATCGAAAAAATTCCAAGAATATTCCTCGCTCAGGACGGATCTGATCCGGTAACTTCCAAGGTTTCCAAAACTGACGAGCTCTGGTATTTCTTCAAGGTTTTCCAGTCGCCAGCGCAACCTCCCATGGGAACGGCTCTGTTAACTCCGGGGGTAAACACAGCAATCGGTCATCGAATCAAACCCAATCGGGATCGCAGTTCAGTCCTCTGAATGGATTCCTGCCTCAAGGAAACGGTGGTCGTCCGTTAAGCGGAGCGAGAACGTCCAGTTACGCTGCTGCTCTTCGGAAATTAGCCAAACAAGCCGTCGATCCCGCGGGTGCGTAATAATTTCAATCGTAGAGCAGGTGGATGAGTATGTGGGACGGAGCTCTTAACATCGCCCTCATTTATCAATAGCGGGGAATGAACGATGAAGCTCGAGCAAACGATGATTTATGGAGAAACACGTCATAATGCATTATATTCTCCATCTCTCACGACAGATGTCGGCAAGGAACCCCGCTCTCCGGGCATGCAGGCCATGTCTCCGTCGCCTTTGCCCAACGGAGCTCTACCCTCAAACGTTCCCGTGCCCTTAACGTCATCGTCGACGTTATTGTTGCCAACGTCGGCTGCGGCGTTGGCAAGCTCAACAATCTTGTCATCAGTGGCATCGTCCCCGTCGGGAATCATCTCAACCTCCACCTCGACGGCCACCAACAAGCCAAAACATTGTCCTTCACCTAATACTGGGACAGATTCCCGAAAACCGATTGACCTGACGAGCACAATAGCCGAGCCGCAAAAGAAACAGCAACCTTCGCCCAGCAGAGGATTCCAACCTTACAGGTGAGCGTGCTGTTTCCCTGAATCCTCGGGAGCGTTAAGAGTCCTCTGTTGTCTCGAGCAACGATCTTGCTCAGACGCATCCGAGCAAGGGATTCGATCAAGGTTCTAAGATATGTGGTACGATCGAGAATAAGAGCCAGCGTTCACGGATCGATTGATCGAATGCACGTGCCGTGTGGAATACAAAGCGCATGCTTTCGTCAAAGCGGTTGGCCGCCTCATTCGACGATCAGATTCCTCCATGTACACATGTCCTGTGGCACAGAATGATAAGGATTTTCCCTCATGTCGTTTCCAGAGCGGGCTCATCCTCAATAATCTCAAACGGGTCCTCGTCGCAAGCCTCCGATTCCGTGTCTCCAACATTGATTCCCCATCCCTCACCGTTGGCTCCATCATACGACTACAACCAATATCTCCTCCATCATCACCAGCAAATGGCCGCCGTTCAAGGCGGTCATCCTGCGTTCCGACTCGATGATCCGATGCTTTTCGATCCGCGTTACGCTCCCCAATTGACTTATCCATACATTCCCGCCGGAGCGTCTCTTCCCGGGACACAACGGAGCGATGAATCCAAACGAGGTCCCGCAACGTCTCGGGGTTCTATAATTCAGGGAACCCCGCGTTCAGAAGCATCTACGCCATCTTCGTCGCTTAGCCTGTCGAAATCGGTGACTGAGGGTCTTTCGGAAGCTTCCGATCTGTCCGCGTACGGCCTAGCCGGAATCCCCGGACCCCACAACGATCCTCAGTGGTTCGCACAAGCGAGACTCGACATCGAGAAGCGCAAGGAGTTGCAGTTTCAGCATGAACTCTACTTGAGGGAACAGCAGGGGGTCGCTCGCGCTCAAAGGTACTCGTCCTGTCGATACACACGGAATTTCGGAATGTACAGAAGCGAAATCCAAGGAGTCCGTTCGAGCTCAGGTAGAGAAACACCTGACGGAGCCTAATGCATAGTTCTGCTCATTTCAGCCAAACATCGTCGCGGAATGCCAGGGCAGCTGCTCAGGATCCGGGTAAAGTCCCGTCGTCCTCACCACATCCTCAGCCGGTCGGTGGTCTGCAGCATCATCAAAGCTCGAAGTTCATGCAGGTCGGTAGTTACGGAGTGACAGCGGGTCTAATATCGTCTTCCGTAGCTTCATGAGTCAACTCATATGATACGAATTCAGCGGAGCCGTCAACGGAAAATATCAGCCGTTATTCCACGGTGCGCCCTCCCTGAATGGTTCGTTATCAGCACGACCTATCTCGCATTCTAGGTCACCCCCCAAACGAGTGGAACGAACGGCGCGAAAATCCCCTCCATACCTACAAGCTTGGCCGGACAGCCCTTGTCCATGTCCGGACTTCCTGTTCAGGGTCTCAATCTCAGTCATACATCGGGCGGAGCATTTACGCAGATCATGCCGAACTCCCTCAATGAGAACAATAACGTGATCAATTTCGGGGAAGAAGGTGAATATTTTTCGCATTCCACGATGCTGATTCGAATCCGATATTTGTTGAGGACTCCCTCCAGGATGTTATATCCGAACGTGTAATAATCTCGATTCTTCCCGGAAAGGTATGCACGCGCGATTATTGGAGACCCAGAACAAGCACAAAGTAGTCAAACCAACGGTGATTCAGCAGAACGGCATTCCACCGTTCTACTCACCGTTCTCAGCTGATTCGCTCCTGGGGCATCCAGGTGTCTCGTACGCTATTCCCGTGCCGTACGCGGGTCCCGGCAGCGCGTCATACTCGGAAAATGTTGCTCCCGTGAACGCAGAGAAGGAACAAATGATTGTGGAAGCACCATTGTTCGGACTCGCGCCTATTCCGGTAGAACGTGACGAGGAGGGTATCATGTCAGCGCTCGATCTACAAGTCAAGGATAAAGACGCTGTAGGGGGCTTCATCGAGAGAGACTTCAACGTGTTCAGCGTGACGTGGACGGGACCCAAAGCAAAGCTTGAGTGCGATGACAAGGTGATTGCTCGCTCATAGTCGATGATCGTTACCCGAAATGGATCTCGGCGGGTTTATGCTGCGGAAGAGAACTAACCATAATTTTCCCCGCCATTCCTCCTTAGAAACTCGAGTTCCTTGAAAGCTTCGGATTGACGACTCACAGAAAAGTGAAACGACTCCAATGTCAGCAGCTCGTCTGCAAGCGAAAGCATGATGAGCCCCTGCTCATCGAAGAGACGGAGGAATTATCCGAGAAGTTTTGGAAGCGTCTCTTATTGCTCGATATCGAACAAAGCGTCCCGGAAGCGCGCGATTCGACACCGAAGACCTCGAGCTCGAAACCAGAACCGCATTTACTAAATGCGCTCGACCTGGCCGCCGCGGTCTCGAACAAGACAGGTGTGCTGTTATTCCTGGGAGAATTCGGGGAAGAACTCAAATCCGTCCGCTTCTCATCGACTATAATTATCGATTGTTATCGGGGAATCGGATCGGGCTCCCTTCTAGCGCGTGCTCCTATAGATTGATTCTACTTAGAGAATAATAAAACGAACAAAAGTGAATAATTTTCGCTCCTTCAGACGTCGAGTTGCGATGGCGAGCCATTCTGAAAGATCGAGCGAGACGGTATAACATCATGCTGCCTGAGCCGAAGAGAAACCTGAGAACGCAGGACAGAGCCAGCGAGGCGTTCGACGAGTCACTCCTGAAAAAGGCACGATTTGATCCCAAAAGCTTCGCTCAGGAGTTCCACGAGTCTGTGCTGAAGGATACTAGGGAAAAACTCGGTAAGTCTCCATCTACCTATGCTCCAGTACCATGGACATGGTTTCCAGGTCACTATCCTGAATCGGGTATCGATACGCACCTATGCTTTGTAAGCGGGAGGTAGTGTATTGCCGGAGATTTCAATACTTTTCCCTTCACCGTAGGCTACGTCGAGGAGCTCTCCCCAGAAAATCCGTTCAGCGGTGTCTCGCTGCCTTCATTCACGCGTATCATCAGTTCGAGGGATTCTAGCCGATGCGACGATACTGGTTCATGTGAGGCGTCTTCTGTCAATAGACCGCGACGCGTGCATCCAGCTTTCCGAGTGGGTTTGGCTGGCGAGCAGAGTGAGCCAAGCCCGTCTCCTGAACCTTCCCAGACACCGTTCCAGTGGCCAGGCGTTGAAATCATGATGGAGGCTTACCACCGATATCATGAGCTCCTCGCTCAGGAACAGCGGTATCTGCGGGAGAAGTTCGAGAAGCACAAGGAGCAAGGAGTTCGACTGCAGCAGGAGTTCGCAGAGGTCAAAGCGCATATGGAGGTGAGCCCCGGGAACTTCCGATAGTTTCCAATCGGAAAAAAACAGCAGCGGCTCTCCCCGTGTCACTGTGTCTCCGACTACGTTTCGGCGAATTTCAAGCTTTTTCCCATCCGCAGAAACTTGAAGAAGCGAGTCGGACGGAGCAGAAGGAACTCGAGGCCAAGGAGCGCGCCGCGGAGAAACTCCTCTCTCGAATAAAATTCCTCCGTCAGCTCGGGAGCAAAGCGTCGACAACACCAACGACGACGACATCGACAACAGTGGAAACATCGATTTGCAACGGACACTGCTAGTAACGCAGAGTTTCAAGCACGCACATCAAATCCTTCTTAAATATCAAGTTGAGAGTTCCAGTCGTCGATAATCAAATCATATAGCCTCATATGAGGCATCGAGTGGCGATAGCCTCGCGGAAGCAAACGCATTTCGAGCAAGTTATATGGTGAAAACCTCTTTATAACGCGAGGCCGAGATTCGATTTATCCTGAAGACCGCGTCATTTCCCGCGTTCTTATTGTTGAAACCGCGGCAAAGACCACAACAACGACGACGGCAACCGCTGTGGCTCGGATCGGCGTCAGCGAGAATCGTCATTGACCCCGAACTGAGTTAGATTTCTTTCTCGATTCTGAATTCTCAACCCTGCGGGATTGAGCATCGAATGAAAAAAAACTGTCCAGCTGCTCATTGAGATATCAGTCAAATTCTGCCTTCCCTACTTGTCTCGGCATGGCGAGAATGTCGGAGCATGGAACGAGCTTGCGCATTGTCCACTTTTCGTCATATTCAGTGCGAAGTAGGACTCTGAAGTTCGTCACAAATTCCTTTTATCAGCTGTTCGTTGCCTATGAATCCGGAAGGTCCGAAGTGGGGAGCGATAGTTCTCGATGGATCCCCGTCGCTGTCCCTCCACGTCTCCTACAACTTATCTCAGATATGGTGTCTCACCATTTTAAGTAAATTCATCGGCTGAATCGGATCACCGTCTTGTTCGAGGTGACGACATAATTTCCCCAAAAAATATCTACATAAGAGTTTCCGTGATCCCGTACTCGGGAGCCCTCCGGAAGGTTTTTTGCCTCATGATTGACGGTTCTGACGGGGACCGAGCCTGTTCCTCGCTACGAAAAGAGCTCGTCGAACTGTATATTCACTGCATCGTCATTTCCTTATTTTTCTCCTGGTTGCCCTCGGTTGTCGAGTGGATCTGCTCGCTCATTTGCCCATGTCTCTCCTCGTAGACGCTGTCGACCAGCCGAGCAGTGAGCCGTACTACCTACCTATCTACGGAATAGTTATTCTAGAATTGAACGAGTATGTACATAGACAGGCGTCATGAAACGCTGTAAATAATTTGACCCAATGCATCGAACGATTCAAGGAGTTTTTGCAGCTTCCCGAGCATCGAGTGAAAGTCGACGGCGGACATTCACAAAATCGAAGGAGCTCCGAATCACGCTCTTGAAAGTGCGAGCTTAGTGTGGACGAAGATGACCGCGAACGAACAAGCGCGCAAGAGACGCTGTCGCAAGACAGTGAAGAGCAGTCGAGGACACAGAATGGAGCGATGAACGTGAGGCCAAATTAAATGACGGAGAGCGAACAAGGATTGAAGGGGGGGGGGGGGTGAAGAGCCCTCGGATCAATCTGGGGAAGTATTCCACTGTGAAATGTGAGAATAGATGTAAAAAGTTCCGTTTGGAGCCTTGTGACAGCAAATGCAAGAGTATTCATCGATTGTGAATAAAATAAATGCCTACGCACACTGTCATTGAAACGATTTCTACTGCTTATTACGAGGAGACCTATAGTCGAGCGGATCCCTCCGATAAGAGCCCGAAATGATATTCTTTGCAGATGGCGCCTCTATGCGACCCTTCTCAACGATGTTTGACGAAAACCGACAGGTCCTGATCAGCATAATCAGCAATGCCGGAAACGAAATTCAAAGATGTTCAATCAAGGCATGCGGGATCTGCGAGCGAGTGATTCCCAGGTGATCACATCATCCGTGCAAGCCGGCATATCACTGGATCATTCTCTGAGTTGATTCTAACCGATGATAGCCTCATATGTTTCGATCCGCTAGCTCTGCGGATAGATCCTGTTCCGAGATGACCAAAGGGACTCGGTGACGATCGAGATACGGACTCGTATCTTATACTGAGGTCATGTTAAGCAGAACGGATGGAAAAACCCACAGACGTCGATCAGCTTCTCGATGCATAGATCCCAGAAAGTCGGTTTTAGATTCCCGCTAGAATCGACTTGGGAAAAGAGCAGGCACCTCTACTGACGGGGTAAAGGAACAGGGATTCAGCGCGAAGTCTGCTGGGTGCCAGGGTCAGAGCGCTGGGTCGTTCAACGAGAAGCCCCTGACTTCCCTTCCTCGTCGATTCGCCTCTCCGCTCACTGGCTGGTTGTGGCGGCGGTGGTATGGCAAGCAGCCTCGGGTGGTAAACGCCAACCGTAAACCTTCGGCTCATACGGGAGAATCTGTGTGGCTGTTGGGACACAGAGTCAGTGGACAACGATCTCTCCACGGAAAAACAGGCCACCGGTTCACTGCAAGGAACGTGATTTCCGTGGATAATTCGAAAGGATCGACCTTTGTTGTAAACTCTCGAGACAGATAAACGATTCTTCGTCGAGGACTCGAGAGGAACCGTTTCACTCACTCCGAGAGAGATTCCGTCCTCAATAACGATCGTCCTGGCCTGGATTTGCGAGGGAACCAGTGCAAGATACGATTTGTGTTCGCCAGCGTAATCTACAGGGAAGCGAGACCGTTCCGCTGCGAGTCCGGAATATCGGCCCCACATCTCGTTGGTGAGTAGAAGACGCGCTCGGGAGAGGACGGCCTACACTGGCCTACACTTGGAGTTTTCTTGATATTCGAAAATATATCCATTCGCTCGTTTCTCGAGTGTGTTCGCTCTCGATGGTTCGGGCACTCCGGTGGGAAGCAGAAGAACAACGGCCCAGCGAGCCCATGGACTATTTCTGTCGAATTTCTGAGAGCTGCCGATGGACATCAGTCCGTTGAAAACTCCAGCGGAGGACTCGATTCCCGGGTTCCATGTATGGCATCGACATTCGATCTCACTCTGAGACCTTCGTACGGTTTGCTCCGCGTACGTCACCGCCGTTTTTCAATGGATGGCTCTTTTCTTGGCGATCACCGCCTTGCCTACGATCTGCTATCTCCGCAAGGACGGGATACTCTCATTCAAGCTCCATACACTGTTTAGAGAGTTTTATTATCAAGCTTACTGAATAATTATTATCCGTGAGTCGACCTTGATGATCGTAATCGAGAATACCGAAGCGCCCGACGACTGTCGTCACCGTAACCGCCAGTACTCTGTAGCACTTAATACGCTCGAACGCGAAGTACCTCTGTACTTCGGCCGACGACAGAACTCGAGCCCAGGCGGAGGGGACGAGAGACCATCAGTTCTTTCGAAGATTATAATCAATCGAACGACCGCGTGGTGGGAACAGAGAAAACCCGACCGTGCGCGTCTGTGCCACCGGGTCTCAGATATGTGACCTTCGTGTCAGCGTTACCAAAACCCTGTTAAAATCTGATGATGGCACTCTGACAAGGGTGGACACCAACGCTCGGTCAAGCGATCGAATCTCGCGAGCGCAATTCACCAGCGCGATCTCATGTATCGGCGTCGAGAACGGAAGTCGATGAGCGATGCAATGTAATGTCATCGATTGAGCTTTCCGTAGGAGAACTTCCTGCTGACATGAAACGTCGGTGGAGGGTCGACTACGGTATCGCAAACGATCGAATCGTCGGGGTTGCCGAGAGTTCGAGACGGTTGTCAACCGGAAGCTCTATCTGACTTCCGGCCTAATTGATATTTCATAATTATCCGGTATATTGTTTTGAATACTTTTGAGTACTTGTTCCGCATAATTCGAAAATTCGAATGTTGATTCTCGATCAAAATCGATAGCCGGAGTCCATCGGGTACTGGGAAGCAGAAGAGAGAGGCTCGAGATAATTGCATCGCAATGATAGTTCTCCGGGCAGATCTGGGAAAATCTGACGCTTGGCTTGACGTCGACAGAGTCGCCAACACACCCACACAAACGCTCGTCTCGCCGTTTCCTCGTTCGACGCTTGTGGGTCTAGTCAGTAGAGCAGTAGTTCTTGACCTTCTCGGCGGGAACGGGAAAACACATATTGAGGTGAGTTCGATCCCGACAAGAGGCTTCCGCGGGATGGAATATTTCAGTGCGGCCCTCGTATACAAATAACTTGTCTCATTGGGGCGCGCGCGTATCTGAGCGATGACGTCCGTTAACGTCACCCTACTCGCTCTCCCTAGCCGGCACGGCAGCCTTACCGGAACGGCCACGAATGCCCTCCCCCTGTCCCGACGTCGGCGTCGTTGACGCGACGTCGACGACTGCCGCCGCATCACCGGCGAAGGAGGCGAAGTCAAAGACTGAACAACTAATCGTAATCGAGGGAGCCAGCCTTGAATCACGCGCTTCTCAGAGACTCAACGTCTCGAGCACACGGTGCGGCACTCCGCTCATGTAGCTGCGTGATTTCGAGACGCTCGTTAGAGTACGATGCGAGGCTGCGCAGAGTTCGCGACGGGTCTCACACGAAGCGCGAAGCCGACCTCGAACTTCCAAGACAATCCGTCTGGTGAAAAATGTGACTGGATGGGATGACATCATAAACACCGAACTATATCGGGAGCCTTCACTTTCCTCAAAGCAAAAGAGCCAGGATGATCCCTATCCGCCCAAACGACTGGAAGTTGCGGTCATGTTGCTCATTTAGGCCCGGTTGGAAACAACGATTGAAACCAGATGACACACTCTCTCTCCGGCACTCTTCAGCATGTTTTCCAGCGATGAGGGTAATTTCAAGAGAACCACGCCTGGAGCTGGAACGGCAGTGAGTTCCCCTGGCAGTTTTCCCGATGCTGGAAGTCGACTTGGGAATGCAGCGTAGCGCTCCTGTGCCCGATGTGGGCCTTTTAGGAAAGGTAGGTTCAAGCTTTCGTAGGAGTACGCGGAAACGAGCTCACTCAAGCATTCAAAAGCTCGTCTGTGATGGTGATCGCTAGAAAGTGGATGCTTGTGAGCGTTTTGGGGGCTTGCCCGCTGGCAACCGCTGCTGGGAGTGACCTACCGCCCCTCAGCCAGCCAGGTATCGCAACTCATGACAGGCTTCGCTTACCTCACAAGCCGTGTACGTCATAGAGCTGCCCGCTGGGAGTGGCATCGTGTTCCTCTTCGACGGCCCTCATTTTGACTT